CCAAATAACAGTACATACTACACACAATTAAATAGTCTCAATGAATATTGATCAATAAAATGACCTACATTTGTTGTCCAATCCACAAAGTCGCCACGTATACTACATGTAGAATAGGTGCTTCAAATCCAAATGCAAAAACAGTTGCAAGCAGATGAACACAAGCAATTGGGGGTTGCTTAGCAAATGCATACGAGTAAAATACTCCGTAGAAAGAAGCTTTAGCAAATAGCGAATAGCAATCCCCAATCTCGTTCACCCTTTCCCTTAATTAACTGGGTTGTGTGGTCTATTTTCTATTTTTCTGCGTTACTATTATGACCATATATTATACGAGTATGGACCTTATATTATAAGACGAGTAGGAGTAAATAATGTGATGATGGCCTAAATAGTTGACCAAGGTGGGCCCATAAAATTCTTTCTTGTTAGCTTTTGTTGTCGTCTTTACCTTTCTCTGTCTTCTTTTCCCAACTAACAGCAGATTTTGGTGCATGCATCTTCCTACCTTTTCAATTTCAATTCTACCACCTCACTTTTCAGTTTTTACTTTTTTTTTTTTGGGTAATTTTTTACTTTTACTCTTACCCGGTAAAATAAAGGAATACTCTACGAATTAATACGGTGAAAATAGTACAAACTCAAATTATTACTACTATTATTAACGTCAAAATTCTATTTAAAGAGTTGGAATTAATTTGATTTAAGAAAAAACATTGTAGCACTTTTAGTTTGTGAATTATTCATGCATTACGAAAACATGATATATATAATTGTTTTTTTTTTTTTTTTTTGGTGAATATAATTGATTAATGTTTTTTTTTAGCCTATATAGGACAAATTGCAGCTTAAAGAGGGATGATTATTCATCAATCTCTTTAAATAATCTTGAAGGAAAGATCACCTTGATTATTTTAAAAAGTAAACAAAAATTATCTTTAATGTCTTCCATTTTTATTCAGGTTTTTTGGTTTTGTAAAATGTTTTCATGAAAAATATTTTTTCCTTTTTTTCGTGTTTATCATTTTTCTTTATAAAACAAGAAAAACCACATTTTTCATCCTTCCTCCTTCCTTTTTGCTTTCCTCTTCCCCTTTCTTGCATTCCTACCCCTATTTCTCTATAACTTTTTTTATGGAACTGAACAAAAGAAAATTAATGTGCAATTGTGGTTTTTCTCTTCTTTTCTTAATGTGGGTTACTTACATGTATTATTTGAAAAGATTATACTTTCCCTCACATGCAAAGTCCTATGTTAAATATGGGTTTTGGTTGCATCTGCAACCGAGAAAGAGAGTCCAGTTCACTAGACAAAAGAAAATTTCATCCCAAAACCATATGACAATAGAAAGAGTATGTAGTCTCTTAGTCTTATAAAGTGTTTAAGTCTTTCTTCTTTTCTCGATGTGAGACACTTATATGTGTTGTTTGGAAAGTTTATACTTAACAAATGATGAGAAAGAAATTATATATGAGAAGTGTTAGATTAAAATCAAGCTAGCAAAACATTACATTATAATTTTCCCTACAAATAATAATAATAATAATTATTATTATTATTATAATAATAACAATAACAATAATAATAATAAACTTAGCTTGCATGATTATGATTCTCTTTTAAAAGACACTAACAAATATTACATCGTTAAGAGTATGAACAATATATACTAGAAGAATTGGCAATTATGCATAATTGCATATATTGAGCCCTTGCAATATTGCGTCTAGAAACTATTCGTACTGTTTAGTGAAGGTGTTTAAAAGTCCGACCACATTCTTTTACCACGACGGAGGCAATAACAAGAAATTCAGACAGTCAAATGCATATAATCCTATGTAAGAATTTGGTAAGCATATGTAATGTATGTTAATCACTAGTTTAATCTGCACAACAACTACACTTCAAAACTTCATAACTCCTACTCATATTGTGGAATCAAAGCCTATTCTGATTTACTGAACTGAACTGATTAGAGATGAACTGAACTGAACTAAATAGAGCTGAACTGAATATTTTACGAGATGAGGAAACTAGGAACTGAAGTAATCTGAACTGAAATTAAGCTGAAAAAGACAGACCCTGATTGTCACTTATTTAAAAAAAAAAAATCAAAAACAAAAACCCTTATCCCTCTATTATAAAATATTTGTACCATTTGGAATCTTAAGAAATTCCATGAAAAATGAAATCGGACATTGATGTTATCTTTTATACTTCAAAACATAATCATAAGGTAAAGGTCGTGTTTGGAAAATGGTTTTTGACTAGTTTTTTAATTGACTTTTAGCTTTATATTTTGGTCAAACAGTAAAAAAAAAAAAAGGTATTTGGTAAGTGGCTTTTTAATTAGTTGAAAAGTCGCCTTTCCGCCAAAAAGAAAAAACTAGTCTTACTAGCTATTTGATTTTGGCTAATATAATTACCATTTTGATCCTTAATTAGTAATAATAATGAATAATTTATAATTTATAATTTGTGATTTGTGATTGTTCACTTCAACTTAATTTCACTTCAGTTCAGCTCCAATCAGTTCAATTCATTTTAGCTCATAATTTCCTTCTCTCATAAGTTTAGTTCAGTTTAGCTCTAATTAGTTCAGTTCAGTTTAGTAGATATGAACTGGCTCTAACTAGTATAGAAACATATATGTACTTAGTATTTAAAAACTCAAACCGAAAAAGACATATGTCCTATCCTATTATATTTTCCAACCCAGCCCAATATACTACTGCACATGTCTTCTTACATTTTTAATTTTATTATTACATTATCTTTCTTAGCTCTTTCATTAAATATTTCATCTTCTTCTTCCCTCTTCAATTCAACCTTTTTCTTAAATTTCTTTAATACTTTATCCGCTTTTTTTAGTTGCAACACTTTTATTTTCACGTCTTTAATGTAAAATTTAATGAGGAGAGTGATAGAGAGAAAAATAAGAGGGGTCCATGTGGATAAGATAGGAGATAGAGAGAAAAAAATGTCAAAAATAATAAGTGTTGCAAGTAATTAACAATTTTCAAAAGAATAAGGGGTTGCAACTAAAAAGAAACGGAGAAAGTATTAGTCCCACCGTCTTCTTTTTTCCAAACCTCATTTTGAATTAAAATTCCAAAAGATTAATTCCTTTTAATCAAGGTGTTTTTATTTATTTATTATTTATTATTTACATATCACACCCATAATGATTTTTTGGTATCTCCTCACTCATTTCTCAATGCAATTTTCTATGACAATCGGCTAGAAGGCTAGTTAATAACTAAATAATATTTATAATAGATGAATATGAATTAAGACACATAATAATGTCCTTAAAAGTTGTTTTGCTTAGTTACAGCTAACAATTGATTATATTAAACATATTTAAATACTACCTCCGTTAATTTTTATGTGCAACTTTGGAATATTTTATATGTCGCAAATAATACCCCAAAGTTGCACATAAAAATTAACAGAGGTAGTACAACAAATGAAACCTGGTCAAACAAAATTAGTACAAATGGTCAATGCTAAAAGCTAGTCAAACTAACTAAGTTAAACAACCAATAAGCAATTGCCAAACAAGGTAACCCGCATAAACTAGCCAACATAAACCAGCCACCTAAAATCTTGTTTGGCAATTGCTTGTTGGATGCTGACTGTTTAACAACGCGATTTATTTTTGTATGAAAATCATTCACATAAAAGACGGATTTAAAAAAAAAATCATTACATAAAGTTACAATTGTTCGTGTGCAATTAAAAATCTGACAATTGATTAAATATGTGCATCGAAAAACAACTTAAAATATAAGTGAATAGAACAAACATAAATAAAAACAGTGGAGGACATGTTTTTAAAATTCACGCTATGAGCATGGTAATAAGCTACATTATTGATAAACTTAGGGCCAGTTCTCATTGACTGAACTCAGCTGAATTAAACTGATGAACTGAAATGAGATGAATATATAAGAGAAGGAAATTAGGAGTTGAACTGAACTGAACTAAACTAAACTGAGCTGAACAGAACTGAATTTCAACGTATGAGAATAGACCCTTAATACTGCTAATACTTATGACACATTCAAAATATTCTTACTTGCCCGTTGTTTAAGTTGAAAACAAGATTGCGTTAATCTTAATAGTGAATAAATACAATTGTATGATCCTAATTGATTCTGTTTTAATTATGTACATACCTGCTGTTATTTCGTACAACTCCTGTGTGATGTTGCACACAAAGGATAGTGATGTAGATGAGACTTGATTACAGGTCTTAGATACCACCCTTGTAATAACGTACATTATTGAAAAACATAATACTGCTAATACAAACTTATGATAGTATTCTAAATAATACTTAGGCGCCCGTTGTTTAAGTTGAAAACAGGATTTAGTTAATCTTATTAGGAAATAAATACGATTGTATGATCCTAATTGATTCTGTTTTAATTGTGTACATACCTGATATTATTTCATACAATCCTATGTGATTTTGCACACAAATTAAAGGATAGTGATGTAAACAAGACTTAATTACAAGTTTTGGACACCACCCCTAAAACTTAAGCCAACTAAACTAATTAACATCAACTACTAGCTAATCAAAATAATTTTCTAATAGGTCATCAACTACTCCGTATTCTACATATAGAGTAGTTTAAATTAATATATAATTATTTATATTTAGGCCTCGTTTACTTTTCCTTATTTTTGCTAAACTGAAATTATTTTACAGATTTTCAATTATATTTTTTCTTTCAATTTACTCATTTGAATAAACTAAAATCAATTTTACTGAACTAAAATTATTTGATCAAACTAGTGCATTAAATTTAAATGTATTAATTATTACCAAACAGAGGAAATAAAAGTTTTGATGAAAAATAAAAAAGTGGGACACAAGGTGGCCACACAACTTACCATACCACAAGGCACAAGCCATCTCAATTCTCAATCCATTGTCCTATAATCACAACTGACATCACACCCGACCTTCCCTATAAATAACCCCACCCCAAACTTTACTTCATTTCTAAACCCATTTTTATTTTATTAATTTCACAAAAACCAATTTCATCCAAAAAAAAAAAAAAAAAACCTTCTAATAATATTTTCAAGCTTTATTAATTAGAGAAACAATCAATCATGTGTGGAGGTGCTGTAATCTCCGACTTCATTCCGGCAGGCAGATCTCATCGTCTGAATTCCGATTATTTATGGCCTGAATTGAAAAAGGGTGTTAGCGGATACTCTAAGCCTTTGAGATCTGAAACTGTTAATGTTGTTGATGAAGATGATGATGCTGTTGCTGATCAAGCTTTTGAGGCTGATTTTCTTGAGTTTAAAGATGAATCTGATGATGATATTTCTATCATTCCTCACTTTAAACCCTTTTCTTTTGGCCTTTTTAAGCCCAAATCTTCTAATGGTATGCTCCTTTTTACCCATTTCTTTATTTTATTTTATTATTTGAGTTTTTATGTTTATGTTCTGGTTAGAAATTTATCTGGGTTGCTGATTTTTTGTGGGAAATGCTGATGATTATTTGATTGATTAAAAAGATAAAAAATTTTGTGTTCTTGAAATTTTAATTTCAGTTTAATTCATGGTAGGTGAGGTGGCTAGTAATGTTTTTTTTTTTTTTTTTTTTTTTTGGGTTTCTTATGATTTACAGCTATGTAATTTGCTTGAAATTTGTGTTTTTTTTTTTGGGTGGGTTGGTGGGTTTAGTTTACAATTTGTATTTTTGCTTAATTAATTGCTTGAAATTGGGTTGTTTAACATTTTATTATGTTTGCTAATTTCCTTAAATTATAATAATAATAATAATTATTTGATTAATTATTTAGGAATCTTATTATAATTATTTAGGACATTTGTTCATGATTAATTTTAATTCTGATAATTTACAACTTTAAAAAAACTTGATTGTTTGCTTGAAATTTGTGGGTTTTTTAGTTGGGTTGGTAGGTAAGGTTCTATTTGTATTTGCTTAATTGGCTGCTTAAAATTTGGTTGTTTAACATTTGATTATGCTTTACCAATTTCTGTGATCATAATACTAATAATTATTAATAAATTGGAAATCTCTATAATTATTTATATCATTTTCATGATACATAGAGTATAATTTTTTGCTTTAAAAAGGAGTAATCTTTGTTGAAATTGGTTCCATTTGATTGATGAATTGTTTTTTTTGGTTGATATGAATTTATGGATTGGTTGATTTTTTTGGCCTCTTTATAGAGGAATTATTGCAGAAAGATTTTTAAATTTTTTTTTTTTCCATTTTGTTGTGTATCAAATTTGGGAAGATGAACTAATTTAACGAGATTAAAAATTATATGGTGAAAAAGATTTTGGAAGAGCATCGATAGCATTAGACGATTAGATAGAATTCATATAATTGTTGATTAAAAAAAAATATTTTTGGGGAATTCTCTCTCGACATAAATTCTTGGTTCATGTAGTCGATCCCATCATTTCGGAAATTCGGGATTAATGCTTTGTTATTTTTGTTGCTGTTGTCAAATTTCTACACGGCTCTTATTGACTCGATTTGGTAGAATTGATGAATTTGAAATGATCAGCTGTTAATAAAATTTCATACTTTGCTGTCAAATTTCAACAGGACTTATTTTACCATGTGACTGATTAATGTCATCTTGCTGAACTTTCTAGGAAATTTTGGTCTGACTAATATGTCTTCAGATTTACTGTTTCTGCTAGTTTGATTTAATCTTGGTTTACCCGGAAAATAGCTGGCTTGTGTGTTTACTTATTATGTCATTCCTCTGATGTTTGCAGGACTGAAGCCTGTAGAGTTCAATAGCCAGGCTGAGAAAACCGCCAAAAGAAAGAGGAAGAACCAGTATCGTGGTATTCGACAACGCCCATGGGGCAAATGGGCTGCTGAGATCCGTGACCCTAGGAAGGGTGTTCGTGTTTGGCTCGGAACATTCAACACTGCTGAAGAAGCTGCTAGAGCATATGATGCTGAGGCACGCAGGATCCGTGGTGAGAAAGCCAAGGTGAATTTCCCTGAGGAAACCCCCGTATCAGCTGCTGCTCCTAGGCGCACTGTTAAAGCTCGTGCCCAGAAACCAGCTGCCAAGACAGCCTCTCCTGCTCCAATGCAGAACATGAACCAGAGCTTTAATATCATGAACAATGCTCAGAATGAGTATTACAATAATTTTGCTCTTGTGGAGGAGAAGCCGCAAGTCAATCAGTTTGAGTACTCAAACCCAATGCCTGCTCTGGGAGAGTTAGCAGTGAACCCCTTTAACTCCCTCTCTGGGGGTACTGATCTGTTTTTCAATTCAGATGAAGGTAGCAACTCTTTTGATTGTTCTGACTTTAATTGGGGAGAGAACGGCCCGAAAACCCCAGAGATATCCTCATTCTTCTCAGCTGCTCTTGAAAGTGATGACAGCGGAAATGCAACAAAGAAGTTGAAATCGACATCAGGAGATGCTGTACCTTTTGAGGAGAATAGCGGCAAGAGCCTGTCTGAAGAGCTTTCTGATGCTGATCTTGAATCCCAGTTGAATTTCTTGGAGACGCCATACCTTGATGAGAACTGGGCTATTGATGCTTTTCTTGGAGGTGATGCATCTAATGGAGGTGCTAATCCAATGGAGCTGTGGAGCTTTGATGACTTCCCCGGAGGAGTCTTCTAAGCTAAGGGTGCGCTTTGCAGACCTTATGTAAATAAAACATGTTAGTTACCACCTCTGGTCAGTTAGTCTTTGTATCACCAAATCATTTAGAAACAAACTTTGGATTTCGAGTTTAATTTTTACCCTAGAGGTGGTGATTAGAGTCTGTTTTTGTCCAATTTTCAGGAGTGTCTGTTCGCGAGGTGACTTTTAAATATGAGATTGCGTAGTGGTCTTATTGGGCAGTTGCAGTTATATGGGAGTACATAGGTAAATTTAGGTTCGTTCTTGCATTTGAGACTCTTTTAAGTTTCAGAATATGTACTTGCTATGTTTATCCCGACTTCATGAAAGCTGAACCTGTGCTTTCAGTCTGTTATTGCACCTCTAATTATGGTTTGTTGCTTTATTTTTAATGCGGCTGCCATTAGGATAAAGCTTCAATGAATGTTAATGTATTTTGGTTGGCTAAGCCGACTTATCGAGTCCTTCGGAAATGGCTCGAAGGGTAGGATTTTGAGTTAATGACTTTAGCCCGATTTTCCCTTGCATTGGATACTTGCATAAAATGGCAAGCTATCTTCCTAGTGCCTTGGTGTTAGAATCCAACTCCTTTTGATGTATTAGATTCCATTTAAGTGCTTTCCTAGAGTTTAGGTTATGTTTTCTTAGCTTGAGGTCCCATTATTGTGTTACTGTCAGATCAGTGTTCACTAGGAATTCTCCTTGTATGTCATTTAAAGCTCTTTAGAGGGCGAATGATTAATGAAATCTTAAAGCCTTCTACCAAGTGTTGCCTTGCTTTTATGCTTGTTTGTTGTTAGACCTTTATAGATATTGTGTCTTAGTTGCATATTAGCTCCCCTCCAACCCAACTTGATGCGCTAAGGACTCGTGGTTCGGATCCGCTTGTGCCCGCTTTGAAGTATCGGCCGTCACAAGCCCCGACCACCCGCACTCCGTCGCCCAGATAGACGTGAGTGCTCCTGAGATTCTATTGCCCGCTTGTGTTGCTTTGTGCTCACAAGCCCCTCTTCCGCTCAAGGCTAGCGTTCTTGCCGCCAAAAGGCTAGAGCGCGCCGCACGTTTTGGGGTCCAAACTCCCGGACCGTGACACTTGGGCATAGATTGCTTACTAGTTTGGTTGTGAGAATTTAGGTGGTAAGTAGTTGGACAAACGCAACATTGTCTATTTGATCAGGGCATCCTATCTTTGCCATATTTGAATGTCTATTAGGGTTTTTATTTTTTTAATTTATAAGTTTTTCGTTTTTAATTTTTATTTTAGATAGAGCCTCAAGTATAATTGATAGGTTTAGGCGTTTAGCACCCCCTGAAGTGGAAAGCTATTTTTGACACAATCGGTAGGTTTAGTCCCTTGAAAGGGAATGCTTAAAATCCATTTTACGGATGCTATTACTTATTCCATACCTTATAATGTTTTAAAATCACTCGTGTTTTCAATCAAAGCTTGTACTTACGGAGTACTAGGGAGTAGCAAAAATCCTGAGATACCAAAAATGTAATTGGGTCCTTTAATCTTCTCGTCTTAAAGATGTATATTATCATCCTTCCGTTAAGGCAAGACAAAGATTAATCGATGTAAGATTTTCCTAAAGTCGTGTTAGCAAATACTCAGTACCACATTGCTGTATAGTTGTCAAGACGTACAAATAATGAAATGATTATTTGAAGCGTTACTAATTCAAGGAACACGTTAGTTCCTGGAAAATTGTTGGGGTAAACTAGCACAACTCTCTCAAACTTTGAGCTTGCAAGTTGCTACTAAAATGTTCTAGTACTATTTAGTACTATTATAAAACGTAACGCTTAAATAATTTAGCAAGTTGTAATATTTTCAATTGTCACGTCTTTGATATAAATAGAATATGTTGGGGCCCTCCATTTTTGTCTCCATTTTGCTAGTGGACGTATGTTATCACCCCCATTTTGAAGGGTGTTGTTTTAGCTTTACTTGGTTTGGCTTCATAAGTCGGTGCCGCCGACCAACTTGTCGCTGCGGCGTTGCGCAGGCGTTCTACTTTGGAACTTCCAAGTTCTTTGTGTTTCTAGAGGATGATGTGAGTGAATTTTATTTTTAAGTGTTACATTTGGTCATTTATGTAGATGGTTCAATGTTGTTTATAGATAGGGGTGATGGATTCTTACATAATAAAATTTAGATTTTAGTGATGTGTATACATTTTAGAGCTGCTTTGATGACTTTATGCGTCACTCATAATTTAGAGATTGAGAATTCGTTTCTTATTTGTTTAATTTTTTATTTATATTATTTGTTGAGATTTTTAAAAATTAATATTGTTACATAATGAGTGATGTAGATTTTTATTTTAAAAAAATTTACCTATTAAAGGCTTGTCTCGTGGCGTATTATAAAAGTACACATCTAGCTGAGTCAATTGAAAAAGGTTCACCTTTTTGTCTGTATTTATTACACCATTTTGTTTAAAATTATAAAATGTAACTCGAACGGAGAGGCAACTAAAACACACCCTCGTGTAAAATAAAAAAAAAGCATTATAAGGATTAAGTTCATTATCAAAGTAGCAAATAAAACAAATGACTACATACAAAGTACATGTAAGGTTGTAAAGTTTTTAAAAACGACGATATAATGGTTTCTATAGTAGAATGTAGTTGTGATCAAACCAAAATCTTGCCCTAAAGGTTAAAACCTCATCGCTAAATACATGGGATTTTTTTTTTTTTCCAAAGTATTTCCATTATTATTGAATCATAGAAGTTGATAAGATAAGAGTATATTACTAATATATATAGTACATACGTGATAGTTCAACTATTGAAATAAATAATGTGATTCTTTTATTTTATTTTATTTTTCTAGATCAAGAGAGTACTTAATGATTGATGGCCATTTAGGGTTTTGTGTAGTTGTTGAAATAGTAATATCATAATAATCATCAGTCTAAAATAAGTAAGTTGCTTATGATGAAAGTAACCTTTCAATATTGATTTGAGAGGACCTCATTGATATGTGTACACACATCCAAGTGTGCGTGACTACCTTATTTTAGGTACTTTGTTTAGGTATACTTAGAAACGCTATCATTTGATCAATGTGAGTAGAGAACGTCAAATCGTTATAGTATACAAGTTCGAGAGACTCCCTAAATATGAAATATCTAATCCCAATTGAAAATACTGGCATATATGCACGATATTATTTTGATGTCGTTTCAATTATAGCCGTGTAAAAGATGATTGTGATTAAGATGTGCAAAACTCGAAGTTTTCGGAATTGATTCATAAAATTCCCCACTAAATCAATATCATTGTAGATTCGTGGTCATTGTATATTTGTACAATCATCTTATGTGTCAATACTACTTTTGTTATATCTTTGACTTGAGGGGATTAGTGGAGCCTATTGTCATAATTTTAATTAAGAATAAAACCTACCATTTAAAGTATTAATTTTTATCGATACTTCGCCTTAAAATAAATAAATAAATTATTAAATTACTCTATCCCATTAAAGAGATAAGCCCATAACAATCGAGCCAAGACATCTGGCTATTTGGGATCAGGGCACTCTTCTTTTGGTCATTTCACCATAGATTTTAAAGCTTTAATAATAAATTAATAATGGCGGTGCTTTACTACTTACCCTCTTAATTAATTTTTAACTTACATATAATTATGAAGTAAAGTAAAATGTTAGCTCCAATTGTACTACTATGTTCTTTCCATGTTGAAAGATGAAGGACATGTTCACATATACTAAAACGAGTTAAACTGAACTGAACAGATTGGGGCTGAACTGAGATGAAATGAATATTTTATGAGAGAAGGAAATTAGGAGCTGAACTAAAGTGAACTAAATTGATTGGAGTTGAAATGAATTGAATTAAACTGATTGGAGCTAAACTGAATTGAACTGATTAAGTTGAAGTGAACAGGCCCGAAGTTAAGATCTTCCAAATTATAGCCCAAGTGGATACTTCTAAAGAATTGATTTTAACATGGACCTGGCTTCGACTATAAACATCAAAACATGAGGGTTTACTTAATGACCGAGTATTTATTAGGGTAAAGACAAGGGAGTTCATATTTGTATTAGTGGTTTAGCCCCACGCACCCAAGCATTTTCCGAATCCCAACCTATAGAATTTGAGGTAAAACTTTATCAAGTGAATTTGAAATACTATTTGATCTATGAAATGTATATATTTCATATTAATTTTCGAATATAATTTACTGGTAGTGGAATTAATAGCTTTATTATTGACAAATACCACGCGTTAAATTCAATACTATAATCTTAAGAATAATTTTAAATTGTTATTTCAGATACTACGTATGTAGATTAATAACTATTTTCCTCTTGACTTTTACTTGACTAAATGAAGTTTTATTAGGAAAAAAAAAACATGATCCGATTAATAAGGTAAAATTAACACGAAATAGTGCATTTGTCAATAATCCGACAAAAATGAAATATAACAAGCAAATATATCGTTAGCTTTAAGCCTTTAACCTTAAACAGCTGGCTCAATATATATCGTAGCTGTATTACAAATTCATATTCTTGATTTCCAATTAAGCATCTCTCATTTTGAATAAGGAGTTGTGTTATAATGACTTTATCATAAATTCAGGTGTGTTATACACATCAGTAGAGTTTTGTTGATGTAAAACCTTAATTTTCTTTTAATCTAATTCCTAGTTCCCTTTAAAAAAAACAAAAAAAAAAAAAAAAAAACATATGACTTTATCAGTTTGTTGTCCATAAGTGAAATGGGCTTAATTCTTTCAGAAAGGTGGGCTTGAAATGGGCACAAAATAAGATAATAGCCCAATTCTATAAAACCAACAGTGAGACTCAGCCTATGGTTTTTTTTTTTTTTTTTTTTTTTTTTTACGGGAAGATTAAAGATTTCATTTATAAAATAGCCAAACGGCACTTACAATCAATTTTTGAGAAATTTAAAATTCCAACAAAACATGTAAAATCCTAAAATTAACATCGCATAATCGATTAATAATAGTCTTAACAAAAAACTTCATCCGAAGCAACACAATCTGTGAGTTCGCTCTAATTCAGCATAAGATCTGCAGATGCATAATTTTTTGGATGAATATCCTTCTGTGGTCTTCTAAACTCCGGTAGAAATTGTGAAACCTTCGATATTCATTCTTCAATAACACAAGTAATTAAAATCCCTACCATGAACACCATCTTAAGGATGGTATCTTTTTATTGAAAGTAATTAAAGAGATTTTGGGGCTTTCCACTGATAAAAACCAGCGGAAGCCCCTACAAAATTCACAAATAAAAATCAAGAATGAAGGAGATGAAGAAAAGTAGGGAATGATTGAAGAAAAAACAAAGAAAAAACCCTAGCAAAAGAGGCTAGGAAAAACCCTCCCAAGGGAAAAACCTAGAGGGAACTATCTCCCTCTAAAAACTAGAGAGAGAAAAAAAAAGAGTATGAGACTCAGCCTATGGTTATATGTCAATATGTGCAACCCTACATTATCTTTTCTATTTTTTAATTTTTATTTTTGTTTGAGGAACTACATATCTACATTATCTCATCTAATATTGTAAGAAAAGATACTGTAAAATCAGAAAAGTGTAAATTAAAATGTGGGCCGAATTTGATCAATGTAGGTGAAAAGCTGTGACGTGTTTAGAACACTGTCTTAGAAGCAAAATTCGCCCCGACTATGGTGCAATCGGAGATGGCGTTGCCCCCCCCCCCCCCAAGATTTAACACAACGATCTCTCTTAATGTGCACTCAAAAAGAGAGATTAGGAACTCACAAGATGCTCAAAACTGATTTAGAGGAAAACAGGAAGAATTGAGAAAAGAGAAAGCAAATTACGTTTTTCAATGTGTATTCAAAAGCCACGAAAAATCAGTTTTATAGAGGAAGAAGATCGTAACTGATGGAGAAAATCAAGCCACAAAATAAATCGTGTGAGTAAAATCAGGGACAGTTACAAACGTTCAAAAAAACTGAGTCAAAAGGTTGTTGCGGGCTTCGTAACTGAACGATCTCATAACACTGGAACGTCAGTTACGACTTGGCCCAAAAAGGTAGCCCCACCACACCGCACACGTGCCACGATCACAAACGGCAGCGCGTGGGGATGCCCCCTTCTAGCCCACAACAATAGGGATAACACTTCAAACATTAAAATACAAACACACATATTTAAACCAAGTAAACCTTCCTTATCCCACCAATGTGGGACAAAGAGTTTTCCTCTAAAAACAAGAAACCTTCCTTTGCATTATTTCCAACAAATATCACCATAAAAACTTTACTAAGAATTATGAGAATTGTTGCATAAAAAGTAGGTAAATGTGAGCAGAATTTACTAAGAATTATCTAAGAATGAACTACTTGTATATCTTAATGATGAGTTTGATGTAAATGGCCTAATGTTGCAACATAATTTGCTGTGTGGTTAGCTTCTCTGTAGATATGACGAGAAAAAAATCTTGGCGAATTGACTTGACAATTTTTGACATCGTACATGAGGAGTTGATTTTTCCCAATAGATGAAAATTTTCTAATAATGAATGGTAATGAAATCATATGTACACAATATAACTCAAAATATGAGAAATAATAAAGACCAGCAGCATGTATAGCTAGAGAATGATAATATACCTCAATTAGCTTTAGTTTGGACTTTGAAATTTACTTTGTCTCAACTTTCTGCGCAAATCAAACTTCTATTTTAAAGTACTGTAATTTAAGTTATTAATATATTATGGAATCTACTAGCATAGTTTAGGTAGTGAATGAGCATCACCTGTCACAATTTGTAGGAAGTGAGCAAAACTATTTGGTTGAATGTGCATTATCACCAATTAAAATTTCTAGGATTTAAAATAAGTAATAATTATCCGCGTTGAAAATGAAGTTGAAATTTGCATACAAAAAATTTATTTGTTTAGAGAATTAGATAAATAAGTTTTTTAATCATATCGTGGTAAGTAAATGAAATCAACCAAACAAATTCCCGGCCTTTTAATTTCTAGAAAACCAAGAAGTTTAGTTATGCATCCCAAGTATTTGGATGTTAATAAGAAAACAACCATTAGCCCATTAGGTTTCAATTATATGATTTCAAGTGATTCAATCAATGCAAATTGAATAACCAACCATACGCTTCTTGCTTGGTTAACTTAGCTTATTGAGTCAAATTAAAGTTACGAGCTTTTGAGCTAATCTTACGATCTTACAAGAAGTATACAATTGAGAGGTGATGTTGCACATCTAATAGTATAGGAAGGATGAAACCCTCTTTAAAATGTCTGGGTTAAGTTGCATGCTTCTAAAGCAGCTTTATTGACAAATTCGCAATTCATTCTAGTAGTTGCCACTTTGTTCTTCATTTCACTTCCTTTTGATGTGTATGTGAGTGGGTTTTTGCCTTTGTTCTCCTCTGTCATTTCATGTACCAATTTTTTGAGGATAATGACCAAATGTTTTGGGAGATGGGACTCAACAATGTGGCAACAACCACCACCTCAACTCCTATATTCCTTTCAATTTTTTGTTTTCCCGACTTTCGGTTAATTGTGTACGGAGTATAAAATTAAAAAAAAAAAAAATAATAAAATTGATTTTCGGATTTATTGTAAAATTTCACTTTAGTGACATGTGGTTCAAATGTTCTCTTTTATCAATTTGACATTAGAATCTTGTTCAATTGGCGATCAACCGAGTGAAATTTAATTTTCAGTAACTCGACTACTTATATTGTTTATTTGTAACCAATTTTAATTTTGAATAACTCAGTAGATGTTTGATATATAAATGTATGTATGTTAATTCTTCGTATTATATTGGGAGAATTTTAAATGGAGAATCAAGAATGCATGATGAAAGATGATCTTTATTCTCGGGGAAAGAGTGGAAAAAGAATTATTCCCACGTTGGTCTAATATGAATAAATGAAAACAATATGTTTCATAATTCTTTTACCTGAAACATTGGCTTTGATAAAGCAAAGTTTTTTTTTTTTTTTTTTTTTTTTTTTTGACTACATTTTTTTTTTCATTAAGCATGCGGTGCTAATATACAACAAGGATTACACTTCCGCTGATTTATCACTAATTGGGGGTTAAGCCTATTAAACGGGTCAACCAGGAGTTTGACCCATCAATCAATCTTTTTAGTTGGGCAATCAATCTCATGTCCTATGAAATGAAGCCATTATTTGGAGTGAGTTCCTTCTAAAAGTGCCGAAAGTAGCCAATTGATGCATGCCAATATGCCACTTGTTGTTTTACAATTGAACAAATCAAAAGTTTAAGCATCATTTTAAATATTCTCATCCCATTTGTGGACATTCAAGTTATTGGATTGCAACTTAGCTTAATGTTATTTATGAGCTATATTAAATACTACCTCCGCTACATATTATGTGCAACGATTAGACATTTTTCCTCTCTACTTTATGTCAAATCGTTGCAAATAATATGTAACGGAGGTAGTATAAATGTACGTGATGCATGCTTTATATATTAAAACATACGTAGTATATAATAACTCATACTTCATCTTATATTAGTATTAAAAGTATTTAAAAGTCAAAATGTTTTATGTATTATAGGTGGGCATCAAACATATTAAAAATTTGGCTTATACTCGTATAATAGGAATGTTCGTGCACAATTATTTAAAATGCCCAATCACCACATTTAACTAGTGATACTCACATCAAAGACAGGAGTACACTAGATTTTTTTTTTTTTTTATATATATATATATATATATATATATATATATATATATATATATAAAGGTAAAATAAAATAAAGATAACCAAGCTAAGAATGATTATATTGTAGAATATATAAGCAATAAATAAATGTCGTTTTGAATAATCTCACTTCTTATTATCGAATTAAGATGCCCCTCTTACTTCAATTCCATTATTTGACGAGCTATATATATATATATATATATATATATATATATATATATATATATATATATATATATATATATATATATATATATATATATATATGTTTCCTATTACATTTGTAATTTGAACTTACCGCCAAATCATCATACAATATTATATTATACTTTATACTTACACAAAATAAATCCTTTAACACCGTATTTTCTCTATAATCAAGTAATCAATATTTTAACTCACAATTATTACTTAGCATAAACCAAAGCAAATTGTCACTTATTCTCCATTTTATTCTTTGTATACTATATTAATTTTACCATCCAATCCTTTATTTATAAGATCATGTTCACATATGTATTCATATCACATTCATACCCATGTTTGTTTCTATTTCATTGCAAGCAACTTCCTAATCATCAAACCTTTTAGTACGTAGTCAACTATTATAAGAAATAATATACTTTTATAGTTGGTTTTTGGTAAATACATGCTCTTTCTATTCATAGCTAGAGCTCTCCCTTTCCCTTCTTTTTGACCATGAAAGTGCCTTTATTACATACAAACTTGATTTCACATGACACATGACCTACTAGTCGAACTCATGGTACCATATATTATAAGACCAAAAATCATCAACCTTAGATTTGAAAATATATACATATGAATTAGTGGGGCATTACAACTTCCACACATAAACAACTTAACCAATTCCAAACAAACTAGAGGACCAAAAATCATCCCAAGCCATGTTATTGGAAAGCCTAATAATCTCTCTTCTTTATGTCTTGCTAATTTCCTTTCCCTCCAATACCAATTGCCTCATCTTATCCCATCATCATCATCATAAACACCACCCACTAAATTCTTTGTTCATCTTTGGGGACTCTATTTTAGATGTTGGCAACAACAATTATATCAATACCACTACTCTTGACCAAGCTAATTTTTCGCCTTATGGAGTCAATTTCTTCCACTACCCCACGGGGCGTTTCTCTGATGGTCGTGTCATTTCCGACTTTATAGGTAATATTATTTTTCTAATGTTTTTGTAAAATTCATGCATGTCAGCTAGTTTAGTTGGAAAAGTATTCGAATAGTTAATTATAATGTACCTATTAAACGCATGTTCAAAAAGTCGTCAATATAAAACTATAATCCATTGTTTAGTTTTTACATTTTTGCATGTATTAATCCAACAATAAAAATTGTACGGTCCTTGACTTACCAGCACCTTCGATGTTCCTCAGCGGAGCGTGCTAATCTTCCATTGATTCAACCGTACCTTCAACCGGGCAGACGACGATTTTACTATGGAGTTAACTTTGCATCTGCCGGAGGTGGTGCTCTTGTTGAAACTTTCAAAGGCTCGGTATGTATCGTAGGGTGCAAGGCTTTCTTAATCATCTTCAACTTTTTTCTTTATTATTATTAATGATATAATGTAATCTTTACATAATTAAGTATTGTAAGCATATCTTCCGCACATTTGACTTACAAATATTTTATGATACAGGTATTAATTATATATTGTTTCTACTAATATTTGTTTAATGTGAATTATTTTGGCAGGTTATTGACCTTCATATGCAGTTAAAAAACTACAAGAAAGTGGAAAGATGGTTTAAAAACAAACTAAGAGATAAAAAAACAAAGAGGAGGTTTAAAAAGGCTGTGTATTTTTTTGGTATTGGAACAAATGATTACATAAGCCTTTTTTTGACAAACTCATCAACTCGATTTACTTTCACCAAATCTCAATATGTTAGTATGGTCATCAGCAACATAACTTCCGTGGTCAATGTAAGTTTTCTTTGTTTTTTTTAAGATATATACGAGTATTATTCTGTTAATCATTCATGAATTTTCCTATAAAAATACACAAGATTATATTACATTTATACATATACCGATGATGCACTTGTTTTATATTTATACTTACGTAACTAATTTTGAAGCTCACCTAATCTATTGGAATATTCTTTTTATGTCATATGATTTGACATAGACCAATAACATGTTTAAGGTGGCTGATTTGAGATTCAATCATTAAATAAACATAAAATCTCGAGCTTTACCATTAGGCTAAGACCTTCAAACTGATACATAATAGAAAAATCTTTCGTATTACCCTATACTCCGTATATGAGTAATGTTATACTGTATGCCTAGGCGGGGGGTTAGTTTGACTTTATCGAAGGTTTAAATAATGCAGAATTGATCAAGTACAAATTAAGATGAAGTTTTAAAAATTAATGTAAAAAAGCTCTCAAGATCTCCAAGAGCTGGGACTAGCTAAAATACATACAAAGATATGATATAGCAGCGAGCAATATAATATGGACCATTCCAAAAGTCTGAATGAGAGGCATTCAAGGCTGCTACTTTGCGGCCCATCTATTAATGGCTATGACAATGAGAGATGCACTAAAGTTTTACCTCATTTTTGGACCACCTTTTTTATTTTTAACTTTGACATTAATTACTTCTTATCAAGGTAATAGTATTATATATGCAAAGGCCCCTACCTTTGTTTACTACGGAGTACTTGCTAATAGTCTTATACACTGTTAATGTACCATCACACGTGATTTCTACCTAAATCATTTGGCAATTCAATCGAGTGTACAATATTGACCAAATTATCAATTAATAGCTTATTAGGTGACTACAAAAACATGTATCGATTTTGTATTGCTATTCTTTATTACTTTGTACGTTAGTCGTCGTTAATTATATACCTTTATTAGTTACATACCTTTTTAATTCAAATGAAAAATGTGACACTTTATTATCATAATGCGCTAAATGTTAGAAGTCAAGGCCAGGCTTCATTAGTACGACTACATAAGCAAATAAGAAATAACGTCATGCTTTGAAAATACTAGTAAAAGCTTAGTTATTACGTATGTAATTAAGGCTATAATTTAATATTGTTTCAAAGACGGTATCAATCCCAACCCTCATTCTATTATATGAATCTTTATTGATCTATCGCGTTGTTTTTAATTTAGAAGTCTTTGATTATGCAGGATATATACAAGATAGGTGGGAGAAAGTTTGGGTTTTTAAACTTGCCACCAGTGGGTTGTTTACCAGCCCTTAGAATATTGAATTCAGAAGGAGATAGCGGCTGTCACAAAGAAGTTACAAGTTACATAAGGCTACATAACAAAGCTATTTTACAAGGCTTAAAAGAGCTAGAAAAGCAGTTACCAGGGTTCAAATATGCTCTTTTTGATTATTACACTAGTACCTTGCAAAGAGTCAACCACCCTTCCAAATATGGTATCTCTCTGGTCTCTTCCTTGACTTTTTTTTTTTTTTTTTTTTTTTTTTTTTTTTTTTTTTTTTATATGCAACTACAAAATTTGAAATAAATATTGTGAGGGGCTCAAATTTTTAAAATGCGAAATTGGCTTCAATATCATCAACTATAGCTTTGGTGCAGTGAACACCACCACCTATGAGTAGTAGCTAAAATAACGCTAACTTTTGCAATAGATGCAAAATTGGTAGCCTTTATGGATAAGCATACTTGGTTTTTTTCTAACTTATGACACACGCTGCATCTATTGCAAAAGTTGGTGTTGTTCTAGTTACTACTCATAGGTGGTGTTACTTACCACACGCATCCAACTATCCAAGAAATATTTGGTGTTGTTAAGGCCAATTTTCGCCAATTTAAAATAAATCACCTAGCTTGGTTTTTCGTACTTTATTAATTTCTTGTTATTTTATATTGACGGAGTAAATGGTTGTTAAATAGGGTACAAGGAGGGGAAGACAGCATGTTGTGGGACGGGCAAATTCCGAGGAGTACTCAGCTGTGGAGGAAAAAGACCAGTAAAAGAGTACGAGTTGTGCAATAATGTGGATGACCACATATTTTGGGATTCTTTGCATTACACGGAGAAGGCTAATAAACAAATTGTAGATGAGATGTGGAGCAACATCAATTATGGTCTTGATGATTTTCATCGTTCTTCATATACCATCAATAATCTCTTCCATTTACCATAATTCAATATACATTATGATCAATTATTCAATTCACTTTTATAAAACAAAACTATGACAATTATACTAACATCAATCGATATGCTTAAATTATTAGATCATATTCTTTGATCTGTTCATTTATGCTTAAAACTACATACAACTTGGAATCACTGAAGTCAATAACTTATTGAAGCAAATTCTCATCATGAATTATATACATAGTATCTAACTACGAGTGTTGTAGTTATTTTGGATACAATCTAAATTTGCAAGTAACCAATCTACGCGTTACAACTTAGTTAATATTATCATGTCTACAATCTATTATGGTGTTTCCTTGATAAGAATTAACCCACTTCAAACTCTAATTAATTAAAATAAATTCATTTTTTCTAGAATTTTCCCATTCAAAGTACAAAATCAATGTACAAGCATAATAATAATCATACTTTGTTTAATTAATTGAGTGTGACTTAGATCTTCCATGCCAATACGTTACTACGCAATTAGTTGTCATTGACGGAATTATATTATACGGAGTATATAATTATGTGATAAACTCCTTGTTAAGAAGAACGATTAAGTAAAGGGTTAGATAAGCTGGAAACGAGAATTTTTAACCTTTTTTAATATTCAATTAACATTGACTGATACACCCGATTACATTAATCAGCTTATGTTATAAATCCATTTTGCTAATTTAAGAAGCAACTCAGCATAGACTTGAGCATTTTCAGTACCAATAGACCAGTATATTATATCCTTGAAATCAAACTATGAATACAACATTTTGTATTAATTATATACTTAATTAGGACAAATATTGTAATCTAATCCGTTCATTAATTAATTTTTTGTTCTTTCGACTTTTTTTATCCTAGGTCACCAAGAACAAACTTTGATCGATCATTAACATATTAATCTATAAATTGATCAATACCACGTAACAAATTAAACATACCAGGAAGACGTACAATTTGATCAAACAATGGAAAAGAAAATAAATTTTCAGCTTCTCTCAATATTCATCCTAGCTTCTTTGCTAATTGTCTCAACATTAGCAAAAAACCCTTTATTCATTTTTGGGGACTCAATATTAGATGCCGGAAACAACAATTATATTAACACTTCAACCTTGGTTCAAGCCAATATAAGGCCTTATGGCATTACTTTCTTCCATTTTCCAACGGGGCGTTTCTCTGATGGTCGTATTATTAGTGATTTTATAGGTATGCATATTTCAAATCTTATAATAATATGATCATATCATAATATGTGTTGCGTTTATTTTAAACTTAAGTTTATGTGTTCTTTATCGACTTATTGAACTTTTATTTTAAATTAGTTATGTTACTTGTATAATTATACTCGTTTAAATTATCAGCGGAACATGCTAATCTTCCATTCATACCACCATTTCTCCAACCGGGCAAGCATCATTTTTACAACGGAGTCAATTTTGCATCAGCTGCAGCTGGTGCACTCGCGGAAACTAACCAAGGCCTAGTATGTCTCTTACAGAGCTAGTACGACCTATTCAATTTGATTCGAGTTATAATGGGATTCGATATCAATTTGCAGGTTATTGATTTCCATATGCAGCTGCAAAATTACAAGAAAGTTGAGAAGTTGTTTAGGCACAAATTTGGTGAAGTTGAAGCTAAAAAGAGGTTAACAAGTGCAGTCTACTTGTTTAGCATTGGAGCAAATGACTACCTTTCCTTATTCTTAACCAATTCCTCAATCTTGACTACTTACACCAAATCCGAATATGTTGAATTGGTCATTGGTAACATTACTTCTGTTATCACTGTAAGTCCTTTCTCTTTAGAATTTTTTCCTAACAGATCGATTTGTTCGTTATCATTGCTAAAGATTTCTGTTGATTTGGCAGGAAATCTACAATACAGGAGGCAGAAAATTTGCATTCCTCAATGTGCCAAAGATTGGTTGTGTCCCTGTGTCTAGAATTTCAAACGCAGATGGCGAATGCAACACAGAGCCTTCAGAATACGCCATGCTGCATAACAGAGCTCTTTTCCATGTTCTCGAAGAGTTAAAGATGAAGTTACCAGGGTTCAAATATTCATTTTATGACTTCTATACTTGTGCACAACAAAGAATCGACTACCCTTCAAAATATGGTATGTTCATCCATATGATACATTACAAACCCGAAACAAAAGCTTTTCTTTCGATTTTAATGAGCTGATTTCTGAATGTAAAATGTGAAAAATACAGCTTTGCGAATTCACTGGTGTTTTGTTATGATGTATAGGATTCAAGGAGGGGAAGACGGCGTGTTGTGGAACAGGCAAGTTCAGAGGGATATGGAGCTGTGGTGGAACAAGGCTAGTTAAAGAGTTTGAATTGTGCGAAAATGTAAATGATTATGTTTTCTGGGATTCAACCCATTTTACTGAGAAAGTTTATGAGCAATTAGCTGATGAGATGTGGAATCTACATTCATATGGATCACACAGCATCAAGGAACTCTTCTACTTGTCCTAAAATCAGGCAGAATGAAGGAAAGCAATGTGTAAACAACCAATATTGTAAACTAAGTGTACTTTTAGCTCAGTGTGAAGTTTGTATTGAACGCTTGTTGCTTTTGTTGAGCATAATTGATTTTATACAACAAAGATATCGTATATAATGGCATCATACTTGAAACAAAGATTATGTTATGTAGTACTTTGTATTGAAGTTTGTATTGAACGCTTGTTGCTTTTGTTGAGCATAATTGATTTTATACAACAAAGATTAGATTACAGATTGTTCAAACGCTTGCTTGAAACAACATAAGATACAATCAATTACAAAAGTCATTAGTAAATAATAAGTGCAAAAGTCAAAATATCGCAAATCTTGCAATTGAAAAACAAAAAATAATAGTAGTAATTACCACCATATATTCTCAATGGGCACAAAATGGATTTGAAATGACACTTAAAAAACAGAATTTATAATTTTATATCAAGCTATAAGCTTTTATCCAAAGTTAAAGTAGGTCATAAAACAGAAGAACGAAGTATTAGATTCTCATAAAAGAACGACTAATAAATGGAAGTCTGATTGATGTTGATGAAAAATGCCCATCAGAGATGCAATTTACAATAAATTTTGCTTTGATTTGCGAAACTACATGCCAACAGCATCATTCTAAGCTATGAAATTCAGATTGAACCAAGTAAAAAGTAAAGAAAATCTAAAAGCATCAAAAAAAGATGTTGAGAATTGGACATGCCCTAAAACTACATATCCCAACAGGTTTATATGGATCACATGTCACACTTCCTCTTTCCTACAAATACTGATGTTTAGAGGTAAGGAAACTATAAATTTGGAAGCTTTTAACCTAAAATACAATCCTCAGCTATCCAATAACAGAAAAGCATCCACTCCCTCGAAAATATTTACAAAAGAAAAAACCTACTGTAAGTATTGCACCAGTTTCTCACCACGGCCCTGTTTGCGTTCTCCTGAGCTTTTTCCGAGAACCAGTTTGTGCATTATTCATCATCTCCATCACCTGTTTCGCAACAATAATATCATACTCAGCTTAGTTCATCTTGTTAACGACTCAACACTACTCAAATGCATACCCTAAAACTCAAGATAAAGAACACTACGACTCATGGGAACCTAATAACAAGTAGATAAACAAACATGGTGTACCTGATTTTTCTGCTGTTCCATAATTTCCGCCTGCAGTCAGAAGAACAATTAAGTAAGCCACATAGATCATGGTTCTAAGCAAGAATAAAGTTTCAGCCAAAAGTTTTATAAACGTACCTGTTTCTTCCGTAACTCTAGATTCTCCTCTTTTAATTTCTCAACTTCCTGCTCCAGTTCCATTGTATAGGCCTAAAGAAGAAATCAGACAGCAGTGTAAGACTGTAAGTGAGACATGCACAGAAAAAGGCAAAGACATGAAACAATCATAAACTACAAGTAGATTTTATAGTCCTCTATGTCATCTCATAATTGAATTACTGAAGAACAAAACATGATTAGCTGTCGAGAAATGAGGGGAAAAGTCATGCCAGATATCACAACAGCGACAACAATTTGTTATTACATTTCAATTGTGCTTCTTTAAAAAAACAAAAACCATTTCAAGTATGTTTAGTCATAAGGAAGAGTATCATTAAAGCAAAATAGGCTAACAACTGTATATTACAACAGCACCAGCAATTAATCATTGCATTTTAAGTATGTTTAAGGTTTCAAATGGACCACAACAAAATGTCCCCCTCTCCCCTTTTCATCAGTGGAAACAAAAATAAAAATTAGGACATGTTCTGTCTATATCAGAGGACGCTTTACTCATAAGGTCTCGACTATTTTACACAAGATAGAAACTACACATGAAATACCTTACTTTTAAGTCCCAATATACTTTCAACTATTAAAAACTTAATACAGGGAAAGCGATACTAACTGATCTCTGAAATCAAAAAAGTTGCTACATTAAAACATTGTTTACAGGACCATGCATAACATCTGTGACAGCACCAAGCTAGCATTCATGGAGTCATGTCCTATGTCATTCAGAACTAATTTACTGGCATAACAACGTAACATTGCTTTCCCCTGTTTACTCTAACCTCTATCTGATCTATCATTCTCTATATTTTTTGTTACTTTATTTTCACAACTTTATCATATTTCCATTTCCCTCCAGGCTCTATTCTTCTTCGGCAGAAAGAAGCTTTACAATGTCTTAGGTAAGAAACACAAATCTTGTGATTATAAAGTGGTTCACCAACATGAACTAACATTCAGCACTAATGTTTTTATTCAGCAAAGCATTCATCACACTTAGTCAGGCGCTAAGACTGCTAACGCTGACCATATTTGAAGTTATTAGAGATACTTTCATGACAGAGCAGTAAAACCAAGGTATGCAAAGACTACACAAACAGGTAGTTACTAGTACCACATTCGTACCACGGTCCTATATCATATGTTTCAACCAAAACAGCCAATTATAATCTATGAACAGCTCAAATTCATACACCATTTATCATCAACAATCTGAGAGAAGTATACAACTTTAGACTATGTGATAAATGCAACATGCTAGCAAAATACAATGTTACAACCAATTAGCCATATTATGCATGTCCTGCAATGATAAAATAGGAGATACACCACAAAAAACAAAAAGATGAACAACCAGGCAAAACAAAACAGATAGTCAACACTGTACCCACGAAATAGAACCATAAAATTGACAATAGAACCAAGAAGAATAGGAATATATGCAAAACCTGTTTCCGTGCTCGGGACCTTGCAGCAGATTCTCTATTTTTTATCATTCGCCTCTGCCTCCTTTCAACGACTTTATCAACTGCATGGATTCCTTTTCTCCCCCTAAGACCACCACCATTAAACATGTACGGAACCGGTGAAACAGAAGATGAATCTCCATTGCTCCTCCCAAGCCCATCGGATGACAAAGCTGCGGGAGATCCAGCAGGAACACCTATTGCTCCACCTCCTCCCAACCCAACCATACTCATCCCTGCACCACCCTGTTGAGCAGTACCAGTAACCAAGTTGTTGTTCATCCCTGGATCAGCTAATCCTACGATACCAGTCATACCACCCCTCAATCCTGTATTACCTAGCTGAGCATTACTGGGTAGAGTCATCGCAGATGCATATGAGACAGCAGGCTGTTTCGGAAATAGTGGCTGTTGCTGCTGCAGGTGCTGCTGCTGTTGTTGCTGCTGTGACTGCTGAGACATCTGCACTGGTGTTGGTTGTTGTTGTGATGTTCGTACTCCATTAACATTCAACGGCAAGTTAGCTGATTGCAAGGACATCTGATGATTATTCTCCGCTAAACGATTACCCATCAGTTCAACACCTCGACCAGGTTGTTGAAAATTAATTCCAAAACCAGTATTAGTATTATTATTACTATTGTTATTATTAGCCCTTGAGAAATCCGCAAACATTCCAGCAGCAGCAACAGCAGCAGCGTTAGCATTATTAGGTTTCGCAAGCACTTCTGTATCTTCCCTTACAACCCCAGCTCTCACCAAGAACTCCTCCAAAGTGATCTCCCCTAGAGTCTGCTGTCTCTGATTCTGTGGTACATTAGATCCACCTCCCCCATCCTTAGTTCCATTAAACTCTTTCGCTATATCCTTCCAAACCTCATCAACCGTCTTCTGACTAAGCGTCCTAGGTAGTGTCAATGACCCCTGCCTCTGCAAATACCCACCTGAATTCCCCCCATCCTGACCACTACTCCCTACAGCAGCAGCAGCAGCTGCAGCAGCCGCGGCTGCTGCCCCTGCTCCTGTTGTCATACATTGTGTTTCCTCAGCACTCCAAATGTTCTTTAACAATTCATCCATATTCATAGACCCAAAATCCTTCCCCATCCCTCCTAATGTGTTCTGAAATTCGTCGAATGTCAACGAATAAATCGAAAGCTGCCTTGCTAACCCGAAATTCCCTGACCCTAACCCAGACCCTGGTGGTCTACCACTTCCACCAGCACTCCCATCACCTGCTGCTTCATTCCCAAAACTCTTACCAAAGTTCATATTACTATTACTCCCCATTTTTCACCTATTTTCAATATTCCAACTATCAAACTAAAACACCCTAATCAAATTCCACTATTTTCCCACAAATCTAACCAACTTTAAACACCAAAATTACCACTATAAAATACCAATAACAACAATAAAAATTGCACAAAATCAAATCCTTACTAGTAAAACCCGCTTCAATTCCAACAATCCTTTCAACCACAACCTGCAACATCACAACCAATAATCAATGACATTACAAAAAAAAACACTAAAAATCACACAAAAAAAAAACCCCAAAAAAATCAGGGTTTTTCAACAAAGATCTCATCTTATTCATCACATCATTTCTATCCATCCATCACTCATCAACTCAAATCACTAAACACCCACCAAAACACACACTGATCAAAACCCAAACAACAAAATAAAAACCCAAAATTCCAAAATAGCAAATCAATTATCCAAAAATAAAAAAGGGTTGAATAATTAGATGACTAAACTTCCAAAAAAACTAAAACAACAAAAACAAAAAATAAACAAAAAAAAAAGAGTTTTTATTTACCAGTGGGAAAGTTTTTAATTAAGGACAAGTGTCGGCTGTCTAGCAATTCGCTCAAAATTTAGAGCAACAAAAAAAAAATTCTCTCTCTAATTTGGTTTCTTTCTCTCTCTACTCTTTAATAAGGGGAAGAGTCTTTGGTCCATTTTTATCCCTTAATTTTTTTAATAAAGTGGGCCCCATTTTGATAGGGGTACGTGGACCAATAATAATGTAGTAGGAGAGAATGATGCGACTCTGAAGAGAGTGGAAACCGTTGATTTCATTCTAACCAATCATATTCTGCGACATGGACTTCATCTAAACCGTCCACGTTGCACTACCTAAAGTCGATGGATCAGGCCTGGCCATTGTCTCACGCTTTCTTTTTTAAAAAAAATAATTAATTTTTTTTTGGAATTTTTTTTTTGGATTTATTTTTTAATTAAGAAAATAATTTTATGGGTAGTTAGTTGGTGGGGTTATGTGAGCTAAGATGCGCCGAGGGGGAACAGTTAGAGTAGCACCAGTCCAGCACTACTATTTTGCTTTGCTTTGCTTTGATCATTTTATTGTTTGTTTGTTTGTTTGTTTTATTCATACTTTTTCTTCCACTTTCCTCATTGGGTGTGTTTATCAGATCTATTCTACACGGCCGTTTTTAGTTTTTTTTATATTATATATATTTCCGTCACTTCTCTTAATTGGTCTTGTAACTCTGTTAATGTTCATTTCTGCATGTAGTGTGACAAATAAGTTCGGACTACATTAATGTAAGGGTAAGTGAAAAGGATAAGAGAAATGATTTGTTCGTTTTGAGGGATAGAGATAGGACTAAGATTGAAATGAATCTTATCCTACCAAAGATATTGTATTGGAGACTATACTAAGGGAAGATATAAAAGGCTAAGAACAATCTTAAGTTTCCATGCATAAAGATCAATAATTATAGATTGTTGTGGTAAGGGAAGATACACAAGGCTAAGAACAATTTTAAGTTTCCATACATAGAGATCAATTATTATATTATCATTAATTTCATCATTATTTCTTTATCTGTATCATATATCCTATATCCTTATCCCATACATAACGTCCAAGTTTAAACTTTTGGAGTTTTGACTCATTTTTATCTATGAGGAACATATCGAGCTTTGTTCAAATTCATTTTAAACAAAAATGAATAAATAATATATTTAATGTTCATACTTGGGTCGTTTTAAAGTTACTGGCTAAATACGCTATTCTATTCGTTTTATTTTACTTGTCTTAGCTTAGTTTACGATATTTTGTTTTTACTGACTTCCTAGAGTTAAGGTTGAAGAGATTTGGGGAAGTGAAAACCCGATTAAATAGAGTTAAGAACGACTAAATACTTAAAAAGGAAGGTCAACAACAAATTTTGTGGATGAAAAACGTAGAAGAAGAAAATTATTGTTCATTGTATCATTATTATATTGAATGAGAAAGGCATTACATAATTAATATTTCCATGATCGAAAGGGTGTGACTTATTTGCATAGGGAATGGAGGAGGGAGTGGAACGAAGAGTATGGGTTGTACTAATAATACTATTTTAATTGCATTTTCTATTTTTAGTATTGTACTATTATTGTTGTTATTATATTTCGTGTGTGGCGTGGCATTGAAGGGCGCAAGTTATTTGACCTAAAGTCCAAACTAAACAAACCTAATTAGTTCAAATTTTGTTTGGATTAGTTTGGACTTAATATATATTGAGAGTTTTCAACCCAAAGAGGTAATGTACAAGTAGGGTTCATTATTGAGAGATTGATATAAAGGGAAAGGAAATCATTTTGAGATGGGGTTATATTTTAATATAGGCAATATATCATTATATTTAGAGTGAGGGATAGTTCAAGTGGTTAGAGTTTCCCTCCCGATTACAGGAGATCTTGGGATCGATTCTCACCTCCGTCCTTGTGGCTCTCTAAACAACAAAAAAAAATATCATTATATTGAATTACTTTAGTTGTATGGTATTTTAAAATAACTTTAGTTGTCTAAAATCAGAGTTTAAATTGGTAGGTTGAAAAAAAAAACTCATTAAGACGGGTCTAATAAGGCACCACCGAATATTTCCGGAGGATCCCGAGATTGAATCAAACTGTTAGAAAATAAGGATTTAATTGTGTTTGATTAATGCGAAACAAGTCAATGAAAAAACAAAAGAACGAGAAAAGCAATAAAAAAAAGATTACACTAGACCTACATCAACGGGTGAGGATTCGAGATCGAGAGCTTTTTCAATATAATGAAGAAAGAACGAGAGAATGATACAAGGAGTCCTAAATCTAATGGCTCAAAAGGCATGATGTAATTGATCAACTAAAGGTTTCTTTTATAAAACAAGGAAACCCTTAATAAAACCCTAAATTGTTTATCAAGTATACTCAAACAACCATCATAAAAAAAGATACTATAATTTTAAGAAATATTCTTATTGTAGAAGAACCAAACTGCTGAGCTATGTCTTGACGGCTAGCTCAAGCCTACCGCAAGTATTCATATGGCCAAGCTATTGCACACTTGCCTAGAGCTATAACTCGCCCGCTTGTCGCAATTTTCTAGCTTCGTTAGGTTTTTGTAAAACAACCATAACTTTCTCATTTCTTATTTGAATTGGGTATATAACCTATTGTTGGAAAGTAAACTTGAATCACCTCAGCTCACTTATAATTTGAAACAAATCTGCATTTAAAGTCGGTCCTATTAGATTTCGAGCCACAATTTACAAAACACAATACTCCGTAATAATTATAATTATAATAATAACAAATTATAATTTTAGGAATAGAACTTTTTTTAATATACACTAGTCAGATTAGCAATCCATTAGAAACGCTCAGCCGTTAAAAAAACAAGATACGGAGTAAGAGTAATGTTTAACACAAGTACACAAAGGCTTAGATTATCCGTCTAAAAACAAAAGGCTTAGATTAGTACCTTATGAATTTATGATAGTCAACTCGAAGGTCCTCTTTATTAGCTAGATAGTGTAGCTACTACAACTAGCCTACTGCTACGAATTGAACTTCGTATATAAAAGGCCAAGCAACATTAATACAAATCAGCCCAAAATATTAGATACGACTGTTCAGCGGTCCATAATAGGACCAAATCCGGCCTAATAAAATTTGAAAAGTTCATCACCTGGATTTTTGATTGGTTATGCTTAGACGTGATTAATATATAGGGTTGAAATGCTGACGGATTATAAAATTTGTTTTGTTCCCTCCCCGAATAATTACCAAATGAATGATAGGGGTAGAAACATAAAAGCAACGGTGAGCGCGCGCTAGCGTGAAAGCCGTTGCGCTTTCTATCGCAAGAAGGCGCAACCGTTTTCTTGCTGGATGACGCGAAAGCCTATAACATTAACTCAGCCGTTGCTTGTTACAGTTCTGATATTCTCTAAACAAAAGGTTTGCAAATATAGTCAGATATAGCAGAAACCCGCTGAGCTAATACCAATCAAGTCAAACTACATCTCAGTTCCTTCTATCAACATTGTTTTAGCACAAATCATAAGATAAGAATCAACCCAACTCTCCTATACTGCAAAACCTTGTGTTTTTGCTTGTTTCACTCATGTTCTCATTTTTTTTCCAGAAAATTATATCCATATTATATATAAAATGTATGTAAATTAAAACGAAAAAGAGTTTTTAGGCGTGTTCGGAGCTAACTTTTGAATAGCTTTTAGGTAGCTTTTAGTGGTTTGACTTGGTCAAATCACTACTTAACAAAAAAATGTGAGTGTTTGGCAAAGTAGTGGTTATAGTAGCTTTTATGAAAAGTTAGAAAGATTAGCTTTTGAAATTAGAGGCAGCTTTTAAGGTATTTGTTGAAAATTTAATCTATAGTTTTAAAAATAAAAGATTGATTTTTATATATAATAGCTAGTCAACCACTACTTTACCGAACACTCATATCTAAATTATTTATCTTTAAAGCTAACAGCTTGTTGATAGCTAACAACTACCTACACAGCTAACATCTACCTCCACAGCTACAGCCACCTTAACAACTATATTTTGTCGAACACGCCCTTGCTTTTCAAATATACAACAAAAGCATTAATGAACTACCGAGTAGTTGTTTTACCAATTTTACACACGGTATCTTATAAAAATTTCTTTCTCATTTCTTTGGTTACACATCTTTTTTATATTATGATCCCTCTTCGGCTCTTCTTCTCTCAATGTCCCTTATTCCATGGATCACCCTACCCTTTCTTTGTACTGCCAAAAGCCTACAAATAAACCCTCAATTCCTCTCTTTGGTCGCTCCCCTTGTTATCAAAACTACCATGTACCATCTTAGCTTAAAAGAGTGTTGACATGAACTACTATCTTAACTTTAAAGAGCATTGACATATTTTTCTATTCATCACTTTCTTTTACTTAAAATACCTATTTTTTTTCCACCGATTTTTATATCCCAAAGGATCTCATTTTTTTCTAGAAAATGGAGCAATTCTTATAACACATTATTTAGGTGAATTAGGCATGATGTTACACATCCTAACTTGCTATGAAATCGTACTTCAACACATGTCCATAGTATGGTGTGATAGTGCTTAGGTTCTTAGCATTATAGACCATGAGAATATTTAAATCGATTCAAGCTGTATCCATTTCTAATAGACTAATAGTATATTCTATGTCAATTAAACTAGATATGCAAACATACACTAAAAACTGATTGGAAAAAAAGATTAAACTTCTCTAATCTTAGTACAACTTTATTAGAGGCACTTATTATGTAGCCAAATAAGTAAATAACACAAAACATACACACTTGACAAACATCTCATTTGCACAGATTAACACAAAAACATTAAACAAAACACAAGAAACGAATTAACCCAGAAAAAGTAAAATCTAAACAACAATATGTACTCATTCAGGCATTAACACAAACACCTAGCGTGCAACCCCTCAAAACACCATTCCCATCACATAACTCCCAAAACCCAGAAAACTAAGCCGATTTACCAGCTTCCTTCATCTTAGTAGCCTCAAGATTAGCAGCTTTCTGCAACAAATTCTCACTCCCACCTTCAAGAGCCATTTGAATAGGCGATTCACCCAAACCATCAGCAATCGCAAGCATAATCTTCTTCATTTCAGATCGAAATTCCTCGAGATCAACAGTCCCACTGTGATCGATATCAAACTTATCGAAAATGGAGTCGTAAAGGGTAGTCAATTGCGCCGGAGTTGGGCCGCCGGAGTCGACGCCGAAGTGGGTTTCGATGAGCCGCATCGATTCGAACGCTTTTCGGAGTTCGGAGCGGGAGAGGGTGCCGTCGCCATTGAGGTCGAAGGTTGCGAAAGTTTTGTCGACGCTTTTGTTGAATTGGGGTTCGTCTTGTACGAAGGATCTGACTGTTGTTCCGTCGATGATTACCACTCCCATTTTTGCTGCTGTCTTTGATCTTTCTCTCTCTTAGATGAATGAGTTGCTCTGGTTTTTGAAGGCAACACTGATTTTTTTGCTCTGGGTTTTGTGGTCTAGCCGTTCGGTTACAATTGGGATTTTTTCCTTTTAGCGGAGGAATATTTGTAGAATTTTTATGTCATGACTCATTATTCGTCGTTAAACAATACACCGGGAGCTTATTTTGTTCAGCTTATTAAACTTAGTTCAGTTTAATTCTTAATTTTCTTCTCTCATAAAAGATTGGTAATTCTATTCAGTTCAGTTCAGTTTTTAATTTTCTTCTCTTACAAGTATAAAATATTCATTCAACTCCAATTACTTCAGTTCAGTAAATTAAAACATACCCTACATTTGTATTTATAAAACAATGCCTTAGTATGTATGATAGGTAAAGTCGATGTAATCATTGGCATGCAAAATGAGTCATTTTTAGTACTACCTCTATTTCATTTTTTTTTGAAACAAATCAATTCATTAATCAAAAGCCATACATCATCTACAAATGAAATTTAAATCAACAAATACATAAAATTGAATCAAATAAGGGTTTCCATCATCAAAGCTACGATCGTTGAATATTTCTTGCACTGTGCTACATTTCCCGCACACATCGTTGAATTATACAGCCTTTTCGGAGAGTCCGGTTTAACAATTTGTTGTAGCCGTAAGGATGATTTTCATATGATTCACTTGAACGCCTTTGAAGATTCGATAATCGTTGCGATCCCGAACAACTCTTCACCAATTACCTTTTTGATAAACCTTAACACAAAAAAAAATCCAAAACAAAAACAAATAACAAAACTAACTTACAAAAACTACGGACTCCACCATAGGGAGACGCATGAATATCTACACTATTCGTGTAGATTTATTGAAAACTAAATTGCAAAACAAAAGAAATTAACTGAAAAGGGTCAGAAATTAGACTATTTCCAGCCTAAACGGCCAAGAATTTAAAGAAACCTTGAAAGAGGAGAGGAGATGAGAGAAGAGGCTAGATAATTTAATTTAAACATATTGTTTCATATTATTTGCAATGATTCGACATATTTTATTCACAACACATACTTCAAATCATTGCAAATAATTTAAAACGAAGACAGTAATATTTTTATTTCCAAATTTGACCTCAAATCCAATTCAAAGGACTAAAATGACTCCTAAATCGAGCAAGTTTTAAAAAATTAGTCAAACTTATCAAAATCATGAAAATATTGAAAACAAACAATTGAAAAGTAAAAACACATTTTTCTTATTTCTAGTTTTTGATTTTGGTTTTTGATAATTTTTTTTTTTTTTTTAATGAAAAAAAAATGCCAGACAAGTCCTAAGATTTATAAAGTGAAAAATTAAAGGGTGGTACTTTAAAATATTGATAAATGGGGTAGTTACTACGGAGTACTAAATAAGGTATTTTGAGTGGTGATTATTTACCAAATAACACGAATATAATCTTCAATTACCAATTTAAAAGATAATGCTACCATTTTTGCAAGATCCTTTAATAAATTTTAGCATTCTTAGCATCAAGAGTAATAATTTTTTCTCTCATAAAATTATAAATTATTCATGTAATTAATGTTTAAAAAATATTTAGTTCTAAATGATACTTGATCCTTTAATTATCACAAATCACAATATGACATATACAAGGACTTGGTAAAAAATAACATTTCAATTTTTTGACTAACAAACCATTAATTATAAGCTTGCTCCTTGCATAGTATTTAGCACTTCATCTCTAATCTCCCAAAAGTTTCAAAGGAACGAAAAGAGCTGACTTTGGTGATCAAAACAACATTCGTATATATTACATGGCAAAAACAGTGAGAAACTTGTGTGTTAAATTGGCATCATTATTAGAGCTATGTGCAACTCTACTCTTTGTTAACCCTGCCATCTCTTTTGCCGCACAAGACAACACTCCCTTCTTCGTCTTCGGCGATTCGCTCTACGACAACGGTATGTCTTTGTATACCGGTGATAAGGAAGCCGGAGCAAGGTATTGGCCTTATGGCGAAATTTTCTTTGGGAAGCCTGCTGGGAGGTATTCTAATGGCCTCAATATCCCTGATTTTATAGGTAATTACTTATACTGTATAATACAAATATAAGTTGTTTGCATTCAATTTAGCATATTAAAATGTCAATTACATTAATATATTTGTATTTCTTGTCCTATTTGTTGTTGTTGATGTTACACATGATTTTGGCAGCTGTATTTGCGGGTTTGCCATGTATGCCACCACCATATTTATTACCAGGGAATAAAAACTACACCAATGGAATAAATTTTGCTTCTACAAGTGCTTGTGTACTTGTCGAAAATTGCCCTAAGGCGGTATTCATCTTTTTTTGTAACAAGCTAATACAGAAGCTTTATTTTACAATGGTTACAATTTTTTTTACCCCGCTATAATTGATTTAATCTGGGTATTTTAATTTTTTTTTTTTTTTTTTTTTTAAAAAAAAAATTTGAAGATGCAATTGGACTACTTTGTTCAAATGGTGCAAAGTTTGACCAAGCAAGTTGGGGACTCGGAAGCTAATAGGCTGTTATCCAAAGCAGTCTATTTATTTGACATTGGGAAAAATGATTATGTTACTCTTCTCCAAATGAATCGCCAAAAACGTCCTCTATCCTCTTCCGAGAAGAGTCTCTACATGAAACAAATACTTGGCAACCTCACCATCCATATCAAAGTAATATTTTTATTCTCTCTCAATAATTTAATTTAAGCAAGTGCATACAATACTAAGAAATCAAATTGTAAATTACAATTAAAAAGGTAACACTGGTGACAAACTAAAATAGCATATGTGACTATTAATTTTGAACTGATGACAAATTATAATGTAATCATTCATGATCATATACTTGTTGGAAATATGGGATTCTCTATATCAAAGATGATTAATTTCTAAAGTAATCAAATATTCATGCTATCATGCTTGATTTAGACCATCTACAAAAAAGGAGGAAGAAAATTTGCATTCCAAAACATTGGTCCTATTGGATGCATACCATCAATTAAATATACGCTTGGATTTAATGGAACTTGTGCGGAGGAGCCGCTAGAGCTAGCCAGGATGCACAATGCTGCATTTGCTGCCAAAGCCAACACATTGCAAAGCAAATTACCAGGATTTACTTACACAATCTACGACTTCTACACCGCGTTACACCATCGTGTCTTACATGGCAACATATATGGTACGTACAATTTATTCCTTCCTTTCAAAGTTATTTAATAGGTCATGATTAAGGCAATGTAACGAAAAAAGATATACCTCTTTATGCAAAGTGATAGGCCCAACACAACGTGTGATTCTGATTCAATTCAATTTATATCAAAGTAACCCAACTAGTGAAAAAATGAGCTCTTTCTATAAATCAAATTTATCAAGTTCACACACATTGTTGGATTTATATATACTTCCTCGTCTTTTAATTCTTTGATTGAAATCAACTATAGGTTTTAAAGAAACCGAAACAGCGTGCTGCGGAAGTGGGGTGTTCAATGGTGATTATACTTGCCAGAATAAATCAATGACCTTCTCAGTGTGCTACAAAGTGAAAGATTATTTGTGGTATGATGCTTGGCACCCAACCCATAAAGCTTGCCGGCAATTAGCAAAAGAATTCTGGAGTGGAGGATACAACACTGTTGCTCCTTATAATTTAAGGACTTTGTTTGCCATGAGTTGATTAAACTTCTTACAAATAATCTTGTATAATGGAACAACTTTGCTATTATTTCAGGGTACAAGTTTTCATAAGCCACAACCCTTAAGTCCAACCACAGTTATGGGCCAATGTGCTGATCAATAAGCCATTGTTGAAAAGAAGTATGGATTTAGCTTAACTAATCTAACAATCTATGTAAATAATGTGGTGCTACCTACTACTTGGTGTCATAGTACCTATAATGTAACAAGAATTGAACTTTTTTTTTTGAAACCAAGCAGACTCAGACATATATACAATTGAACTTAAGACCTATTAATCTATTATACTTACGACTTCACAAGTTACAACTTAGTGATCTGACTAGGTGACTAAATTATTCAATTGAAATAAACTTCATTTACCTTTTCATATAGCTAATCAAATAATGAAAATTTATTAGATCTACACATTAGAAAATCGAATGCACTGTAAGGACCAAGTAGTATATCAAACACTATGACCAAGTCCGCCAAAACATTCAAACAAACCCTAGGCTAATTCACAGCAAATTATCAACTTAACAATTCACCAAGTGATATAAATCAAATGGACAGCAAGCACAAGCGAATGAACAAGCAACCACATGGAAACTCCAACTTCAACCTTGTTATAGAGGCCACTTCTTAAATCAAAATTAGACATAAAAACAAAAGACCATCATTCTGACTCACAATTCGCAAACGTATATACATATTTATTTTTTTATTTGAAAGATAAGATACATTAGGTAGATTAGGAACGTCTTCTCGTAAGACCATACCTTAATTTGTCTAAATATTTGTAAAAAATAAGAAAATTTAATACATAATAAACGGGTCAATATCTTAATGGGTCGGAGTAGAATATCTTGATGGGTCAATATTCATAATATTTTGGACTCACAATTCGCAAACATAAGATACGAAGTACAATAGCAAATCTATTTTTGTGTATTGTACAAGATAACTACATAAAGAGTAAAATATGACCGATTGTGCAAGAGGACAGAGAGAAAACAAGAGCAGAATATCAGCAGAGGGAATGTTCAGTCATTTCTCATTAATTAGCAGAAGAGCAGCATAGTGTGCTTATGTACAGCAAAAACAAAAGGGGAGGATTTCCTTACACTGAAAACAAAATAACAGCTATAAGGAACCTTCCTAGCAATTACATGACAGCACAAAAAGACACAAATATCTAGCTAATCATTGCTGTAAAATAACGGCTTTGATACTCTTAGAGAAATGACTGTAATATCCTTTATTACCCCCCCTTCAAGCTGTGTGCTGGTAGAGGAAAAAGCACCCAGCTTGCGCAATATTGCTTGATGTTGCTTGATGGATAGACCTTTGGTGAGAATGTCAGCTAGCTGATTCTGTGAAGACACATGCTGTGTGATTAAATCCCCTGAGTTCACCATATCCCTCACATAATGACAATCGATTTCAACATGCTTAGTTCTTTCATGCAGTACTGGGTTAGCAGCTGTAGCCAGTGCTGCTTGATTGTCACAGTGCAAAATCACAGGCCCTAGGTACTTGATGCCCATATCCTTAGCAAAGACTTTATCCAAGTCACTTCACATGTTGTAAGAGCCATAGCTCTGTATTCAGCTTCAGCAGAAGACCTAGCCACCATAGATTGTTTCTTTGCTTTCCAAGAAATAGGAGATTTTCCCAACAAAACACAGTAACCTGTTGTGGATCTTCTAGTGGTTGGACAACTGGCCCAATCACTATCATAGTATGCAGCCAATTCTGCTGCAGAAGAGCTTGCAAGCAACACACCTTGAGAGACAATACCAGCTAGATATCTTAGCAACCTTTTTACATCTTGCATATGAGTTGAAGTAGGGGAATGCATAAATTGACTAAGCAGCTGAACTGTAAAGGATATATCAGGCCTGGTAATTGTTAAGTAGATCAGTTTTCCTAACAATTGCTGATATCTAGCAGGATCTGGGAGAGGTGTCCCTTTTATCGGCAGAGAGCTTTAAATGAGAATCAACAGGAAGCTTCAAAGGTTTCACATTCAACAACCCCTCTTCTCTCAGCAGGTCAGTTGTGTACTTCTTTTGGGAGATGAAAATTCCCTGATCAGTATGATCAATTTCAAGGCCTAGAAAGTACCTTAGAGACCCCTGATCTTTCATATGAAAATGAGAAGCCAACATTTTCTTGATTCTAGCAATTTCTTCCTTGTTGTTGCCTGTGATCAGCAAGTCATCAACATATACCAGCACTATAGTTACAGAATTGCCCTGCATTCTGGTGAACAAGCTGTAATCAGCTTTTGACTGAGTGTATCCAAAGGATACTAAAGAGGTGGACAACTTTTTGAACCATTGTCTGGGTGCTTGTTTGAGCCCATACAATGATTTTGTTAGCTTGCACACAAGAGTTAAATTCTTGCTTGGATTATTTCCCTGAGAATCAACTGAGATTCTGTTGCCTATTCCAGAATATACTGAAGGCATGGACATATATACATCCTCTTCAAGGTTACCATGCAAGAATGCATTTGTGACATCCATCTGAGCTGTGAACCATCCATTCATAGCTGCAACTGCTAACAAGGCTCTAACAGTTGTCATTTTTGCCACTGGGGCAAAAGTTTCACCATAATCTAGGCCATATTGTTGTCTGCAGCCAAGAATCACTACCCTTGCCTTGTGTTTCTCTATCTCACCATTAGATTTATACTTAGTTTTATAAATTTGTTTGCAACCAATCACTTTCTTTCCCTTTGGCAGAGTTGTCACTATCCAGGTCCCATTTTTTTCACATTGATCTATTTCATGATTCATTGCATCAACCTAATGTTGTTGGGTAACAACATCTCTATACAGAACTGGATCACTATTTTTCTCAAGAGTTGACATAAAACAGTAAAACTCGGGTTTTACAATTGTATCAGCCATATTTGCAATTTGTTGTCTTGACCTTTTTCCCAACTGAACATAGTCTTTCATCCAGACTGGCTCTTTTGTTGGTCTTCCACTCTGTCACATTTGAGGTTCTTGACTAATTTCTTCAGAATTTTCTGCAGTTTCTGTATTTTCAGAGTGTTGCTGTGAGCTTGTGATTTGTTCTTCCTCAGCATCAGTTTCATCATTTTCACACATATCAGTTTGTTCATCAACAAACAAATTTCTGAATTTTTCAGCCTGATTTAGAACACAAGGGACATGCTTCATATATTTGTCAAGAGAATCTTTATGGAAAGGAAAGATTGTTTCCTCAAATTTCACATCCCTGGAAACAAATATTTTCTTTGTTTCCAGTTCCATCAATCTATATCCTTTCTGTGTAGCAGGATATTTCAGGAACAAACAAGCTACCCCTCTAGGTTTAAACTTGTCTGCTACAATGCTTGGATTTGTTGCAAATGCCAAGCAACCAAATACTCTGAGATGTGAATAGTTAGGACACTTTTTGAACAACATCTCATATGGAGTTTTGTTGTTTAAGACAGAAGAAGGAAGCATGTTTATAAGATGAACAACTGTCATAGCACAGTCTCCCCAATATTCCAAGGATAACCCAGCTTGAAACCTCAAGGCCCTAGCAATTTCAAGAATGTGTCTGTGTTTTCTCTCCACTCTAGCATTTTGCTGTGGGCTATCAGCACAAGAGGTTTGGTGAACAATTCCTAACTTGTCAAAGAAAGTCTGACAGTGTTGATCATGAAACTCAAGAGCATTATCAGATCTCAGAAACTTGATTTTGCAGTTAAAATGATTTTGGACATAATTATGAAAAATCTCAAGCTTAGACAAAGACTCAAATTTTTGTTGCAGCAAATAAATCCATGTGGTTCTAGAGTAATCATCCACAATGGTGAGAAAATATCTATATTTCCCTCTGGTGCACACTCTGTATGGACCCCAGATGTCCATGTGAATCAGTTCAAAGGGAACAGAAGCATGAGATTCACTCAATTCATATGGCAATTTTGTAAACTTAGCCATGGGACAAGTTACACAAACTTGAGTATTATCCTTGATTGTCTTTTTCACACACTCAATATGCTTGAGCTTTCCCAGGGAAGCATGCCCTAGTCTATGGTGCCATATAGAAAATGGTACCAATTTTGTCTCAGATGTTGCAGACAGACTTGTGTGATGTGAGTGTTTCTCTAACTCAGAATCACCTGACAGCAGATTCATATCACTTTCAACAAGGTAATAGAGACCATTTCTAGCCTTCCCTATTCCTATAATTTTCTTTGTGATCACTTCCCTGATTACATATGTGTGACTTATGAAATGTCACTTCACATTGAGAATCCTTCAGCAACTTCTGAACTGACAGAAGATTGTGTTTAAAATTTGGCACAATCAGAACATTTTTCAGAAACAAAGAATTGGGAAGCTCAACTGTTCCCAGGTGAGTTACTCTTGCTGTATCACCTGTAGGCAAGTTGATCTTAAGACATTCTTTGCACATTCTTAGATCAATTGCCATGTTCAAGTTTGCTGTCATATGATCTGAGGCTCCTGAGTCTATTATCCACTCATATGTGGAAGACACAACAGCATTACAAGACACCATACCAGAGAAGCTATTATCCAATTCTTCATCAGTTTCACTGTCTTTAGACCCACTACCTCCTGGCAGAGCCTTAAGAAGCTGCTCAAACTGTTGCTGGGTGAGAGTTACAGTTCCTGTGTTGCTGTTTGAGGTTTGAACTGCAACAACAATCTTTGGTGCAACCCTGTTATTCCATTTATGATCCTGAAATCTGGATCCAGGCTTCACATTACACTCTTGTGTTTGTGATGCCATTTTGGATACCCAACAACAGTCCAACACTTATACTGAGAATGACCTTTTCCACCACACGCACTGCATTCAATCACTCTTTCACCACTCTTCATCTAATTGACTCTAGTGTTTCAGAATTGGTGTGCACTACAGCCCCACCACGACTGTACATGGCTGACAAAGTGAGTTTTGAACCAGACAAGTTCAGCACCTCTCTTTGGCTCTCCTCTTGTTGCAGCATAGAGCATGCTGATTCAACAGTTGGTAGAGGTGTCAACATGAGAAGCTGTGTTCTCATAGCACTAAAAATATCATCCAAGCCATTAAAAAAAATGAAAAAGCCTATTTTCTTCTTGATATTTTGATATTGTGTTCAACAAATTTCTAATCTCAGCAGAAGTTTCAGTTACAGCAGGCAAAACATTCATTGAGTCTATTTCTTCCCACAAACTAGTCATACTGGTATAATAGACATTTATAGGATTGTTGTTTTGCCTTAACTTATAGAGATCTCTATTCAACTTATACTTCCTAGACCCATTTGACATAGAAAAACGTTTTTCAAGCTGCACCCAAGTTTCTCTAGCACTATTAACATACAAGACAGATTTTTTAATAGTGTCAGACAAGCAAGCATGGATCCAGGTGATTACCATTGGGTTACATGTATCCCACTGATCTGCTTTCACAGAGTCTTGAGCATAAGTAGACCTCAAAACAGTTCCCAGAACAAACCCAATCTTCTTCTTTGCTGTGAGTGCTATCTCCATAGATCTTCTCCAAGATTTGTAGTCTGCTGCTCCAGTGAGTTTACCAACACTTATTGTGTATGACCCATCATTTGGATGCAGATAGAGAGGACTATTTGTATCAGCTGCCATAACAGGTTATAGAAAAGAGTGGAAAAGAAGAGAAGAGAAAGAGGAAATGAAAAATTTCAGCAGAGATACAGAGGATTCAAATGAGAATGCTATTCCAAGTCTGATGTTCTTAGTCCCGATTTTGCACAACCTGGCTCTAATACCATAAAGAGTAAAATATGATCGATTGTGCAAGAGGACAGAGAGAAAACAAGAGCAGAATATCAGCAGAGGGAATGTTCAGTCATTTCTCATTAATTAGCAGAAGAGCAGCACAGTGTGCTTATGTACAGCAAAAACAAAAGGGGAGGATTTCCTTACACTGAAAACAAAATAACAGCTATAAGGAACCTTCCTAGCAATTACATGACAACACAAAAAGACACAAATATCTAGCTAATCATTGCTGTAAAATAACGGCTTTGATACTCTTAGAGAAATGACTGTAATATCCTTTATTACTACACCCATAACATCCACATCATAATTCATAAAACAACAATCCATTGTACAATATACATATATATCTAAACGGTTCACTGTTTCGCCTCGATTCAATTTGGATATGTAGTGTATGTCCCTTTCTTATCCTTAAGAAACTTTCTCACCGGAAATAAAAATTGACATCCTCTTACTAATATGCGTGCAAACTAGATCGTACAATTAAATACTTTTCTCATACTCATAAATCACAAATTGCATTAAAGTAGAAAGTCAAAAGTGATACAATAGAGAAGAAGTTTCCCAAAAGAAAAAAAAAAAAAAAAATTGTAAAAGACAAAATCTGTACCAAAAACAAAATTAATAAACTAATTAATCCGTAAAACATAATCATTTAAATATTTTGGCAATACCTTTGACTCATTCTTCGTATTTTTTTGCCAGCGAAATGTATTCGTCTACACATGATCGGATTTGTGAAAAGACTGTCCAAAAAATACTTAATCAAATCTTATTAACTTATTATTTTGCACTCGTCATTATGAAATTGGTTGTTGTTCTACAGTATTCTAGCACTTTGATCAATTAATTAATCTTAATATTTATTATTTTAAGGAGGGAATATAAGCTACTAAGTATTTGTTTCGTAATATCAAAGATTGAATCAAGCATGTGATTTTATCCGACAACCTAAGTGGTACTACATACAAGCTAATGATTCACTTACCTATGATAGTTATAGATGTTTTTTTGTTTGTTATTTTTTTTATTGTTTCTAAAAATGTTAAACTCTAGTTATTATATTCTATTTAATATGAAGTATTATGTGTTAATAAAAAATATTAGTCGTTTTTTTTACAGGAAGAAAAAGAATTTCATTAGTTGAAAATATATCTTAAAATTACGCATCATGACAATTTATTAAGGCTTCATATTGATAGAGTATAAAACATATTCCTGGGCCTCAACCATCAGCTTACCCAGGAATATGTTTTATACTCTATCACATTAATATGCGATACTTTTTTTTTTTTTAATAAAATATATTACAGAATTTTATTTAGTATAGTATTTAAAATTTGGTTTGTTAAACGAGATATATCAAACTAGAGCATTTTTTGGAATAAAGAGTATAAAATATAGCCATGAATATGATGGGTGTAGATTATTTGATTTGCACCTAATATAAATAAATTATGTACTTCATCCTTAACTAATCTTGTATTATATAAGCTATTTATTTCCTCCATCCTTAACTAATCAACATATTTGTCTTCTTTAGTAACGGACGTTTAATCACTTTCTTGTGCAAAATGAAACACTATGAAATAATGTAGCATTATTAGTAAGCAAATTAGTTAAATACTCAAATCAAAGGATGTGAACTCATTAAACAAGTCAAGTAAATCAGTCAATATCACCAGACAAGTCCATAACCATGAAAAAAAAAAACTTATATCATTTTATTTATTAGTACTAGTAAAAAAAAATTAGACTCGACCTCAAACAAGCAAAGTAAACCCGACAACATTGTGGTGCAAGACCATAGCAAGACTAGCAAGGAGCAAAAAAATTAAATTTGTTAAAAAAGGCAGCTAACCAGATTCAATTACCTGACATCCTCAAGTACTCACACATGTATTCCCCACTTGAATTAATTAAGCCAAATTATGTATTAAAAGACTCGCTAATAAGTTTAATTATGTTGGGGGCCCTGCGCCATCGCACAAGTTGCACCACTTTACCTCTTGTGATGCAGTTGTCGGACACCAATCCACATTCCCACGTCTCTAACAAAGCATAAACGTGTTCTCAATAGCCAATTCTATTACACCTTTACCAACCATTTTCAAGAAATATAACAATACAAGTTGGTTTTTATGCGCAAACTTAGCATACTTGACATTATTCTTCATGGCAGCAGCAACAACAACAACAGCAAGAAGTAGTAACATTTTGCCTACACTATATGCAACACTACTCATTGTATCCCTTACTACTTGCAATGCCAAGAATCTCTTATACGTGTTCGGCGATTCGCTATTCGATGCCGGTATGACTTTGTACACCGGTGTTGCGGGAGATGGTGCTGAATTCTGGCCTTATGGTCGGACTTACTTTAAGAAGCCTGCTGGGAGGTATTGTGATGGGCGTGTCATCCCGGATTTCTTAGGTACTTATTTCGAATCAACAAAATAAATTTTTAAAATGAGTTGTTGTATAAATGTTGTTTGATTAGTCCAGAGTCATATGTTTATGGTACTTGTTTTGGCAGCTGAATATGCGGGGTGGCCGCATCTGCAGCCGTATTTGCAACCAGGGTTTGATGATTATACCAAAGGAACTAGTTTTGCTGCTGCTAGTGCTTGTGTTCTGGTTGAAACTCGTCCTGGAAAGGTAATTTTTTTTTTTTTTAAAGAAAAAATTGATCTTATTTTTTGAAAATGAGTATGGAAATATAAATTGGTACTCCCTCCGTTTCATTTTCTATGGCGGCGCCATGGTTATTAAGCGAAATTATGATTGGGATTATTGTGAACACATGTTTATAGAATTATGAAGAGTTAGGGTTAAAGATTAGGTGTAGTAAATCAGAATTGAATTGGTTTTTGGAAGAGAGAAAAAGTGGGATGATTGGAGTTGATCTCTTAGTTTGATGCAATCGGCGAGGAATTGGGATCAGTGGATGAGACTTACTAGATCTTTTCAAAAATAACCTTGGATCGGAGTTTCTGGGAATTCGATCAGAAGTGAATTTTCGATCAAGTTCTGTAAACAGGCAGTTAGGGAAAAATTTGGAGTATTGGCGTAGTTTGGAAAAGATCAATGCGAAAATTTTGGAGTATTTTGAGTTTTTTGTACAGCTTTAGTAAGTTCAAGGGATTCAAATGAGGCTGAGTTTGCTCATAGCTATTCTTTTTGCTCTAGTTTCAGTATGTGTAAATGGATTCAATCAATGAATGGGTGTTGTTGTTGCGGCTTTAATGTATGTGATGGGTTCGTATGAGGCTGAATTTTTGCTATCTTGTTTTTGCTCTGGAAACCTAGGACAAATGAAAACACACAAAGTGCCTCGGAGTTGGCAAATTTATTGGCAAAAGATGCAGAACATCATCGGAGTCTTCAAAAAGAGCAGGATCCTTGATGAATGAAAGAGGCCGAGTGGATGGGATTGATGTCGATCACATGGCTTTAATATTTTAATCTGGATGTTTAGGGACTTAAGGAAGGAAGGAGGCACTTGCCTTGAATGTGGTTTTGATAGACATTTGATCAAACAGTTGGTGAGCATGAACAGCTATGATATGTGGCACCCAACATGAATTGTTGATGATAAAATCAATGGCCAAATGCTGTAAGACAAGTTTTGGGATATGAAGCTGTTTTCGGTACTTACATTAAGAGTGGATTATTTAGATCAACAATGTTATCAAGAGCAATCAACACTAGATGTTTGGTCTCAATATTTAGTGAACCTTATAATATGAGAACAAGGGAGTTGTAGTACATAGTTACAAACGAGTACTAGGTAAAAAGTGGAAATACAAGTACTTGTATACATTTGGGCATCCTTAAGAAACAGGACAGTTTAACCACTTTCATCTCAAAACCAATTGGTAATAGAATAAATTGCTCGTTAAATGAACACACGAGTGTTATGTGTACTTCATGAGTTACTTTCAGAGGATTTAGCCGATACACTTCATGCTACTATGCTAGCACCAAGTATGGAATACATAACTGATTATAATCTACTTTACAAAATGCATTGCAATAATCTCAACATGAAGATACATTTTCTTTAGTCAATCATAATTTAACTTGATTATTTTGTTCATAGATTGTCTCACATTTTTTTACTTCTTTTTTTGCCTGCCAGATAAATTTGGCTTTGCAAATGTACTACTTTGTTCAAATGGTGCGAAAATTGAAACAGCAAGTTGGAGAATCAGAGGGCAACAAGCTGTTATCTAAGGCAGTCTACTTGATTGACATCGGAGGAAATGACTACTTTAGCATTTTTGAGCCGAATAAGACTAACCTTCCACAGCTTCCTCTCAATCCTCAGTCCAAGAAAGCTTACGTTAATCTGATACTCAGTGAACTCACCACCCACATTTATGTAAGAACTCCTAATCCTTCTTTCTTCTAATAAATAGCTTTGTTAAGTTGGACTTATTTCAAACAAAATAAGTTCAATATAACTAACAAGTGACTTTGTTTATGTTTATGCTTTTATTTTTTTAGACACTTTACAACAAAGGAGCACGGAAATTTGCATTTCCTAACATTGGTCCTCTAGGGCACTTCCCCTCAATGAAGACCCTTTGTATGCTACGACCCGAAAAGAGCTGTTTAGCTGATCTAGACGAGCTAGCTAGGATGCATAACGCTGCATTTGCTAAGCTGGCTAACAAATTGCAAAAACGATTACCAGGGTTCAAATACTCAATATACGACTTCTACACCGCTGTAGATCTCCGTGTCCTCAATGCTTATAGTTATGGTACGTTTATGTTTTAACACCCTTATAACAACAAAAGAAGACAATCTAAAATAGTATGCGTGACTATATGACTTACATTTTTCATGTCAATAATGTATGATAGGATTTAAGGAAAGTATAACAGCATGCTGTGGAAGTGGAATGTACAACGGTGACTTCACTTGCCAAAAGACGGAGCACAGCTTCTCAGCTTGTAGTAATCCACCCGATTATTTGTGGTTTGATGCCGGTCATCCTACCGAGAAAGCCAACCAGCAATTTGCATATGAAATGTGGTCGGGAGGACTCGACGTTGTAGCTCCTTACAACCTGAAGAGTTTGTTGGCCATGAGTTGAATTAAAGCTTCACACATTGCTGGTAGCAATCGATGAAACAAGGTGTCATTCGATAATAATAGTGAGATATATACTACTTGTAGCATGTGCGGAAAAAGTTGTCACATTTGCTGTTTGTATTACTTGGTAAATGTTATCATTATACCGTTTGTAGATTGAGTGCTTAGGAAAAGTATGAAAATAGTCCAACAATTGTAAAGGGCATGTAAAATTGTGTCATTTTTTTTTGTCATGAAGGTCTTAGGAAGACAATATAACTAGTATTTCCAAATGGAATCCAAATATTTATTCAACAAAGATTCTTTTTATCTTTAGTCTTGAGTTACTAGAAGAATTTTAGCATTAATATATCTTGCAATACTATATACTTGTAATTCATTGACTAATTGATACAATGGGTTTGATGGCTTAACACAAACCTTATATTCTTGAATTTAGACTGGGGCTGATCAGTTTGAGCAACAAAATTTTGGGCCTATAGCTATTGTTCCCGCCCAATGATATGAGTTCTCTCGCAACACTCAACAAGTAGGCCTTCAGGCCCAAAAAGATCAGCAGCAACAGCAAAGTTTTAATGATTCACCCCCCCAACCCCTCCCTTTAATATACTATACTTATAAATTTGTAATAATTTTTTTTTTTTTGGAAACCAATTATAAATTTGTAATATTAATATGAGGAGAATATAGAATATTAGGTTTGGTTGAACGAATCAGATCAGATCAGATCAATTAATAAACCTTGATTATCTTGTCACATGGATGATGATGGGTACCAGACTATCAGCCCATATGACATTTTTATTTTTTATGCATTTATTTAAGCATTTTGCTTTCTTAGTTGCCATGATATGATGATAGGTTTTTTTTTTTTTTTTTTTTTTTTTTTAATATTTAAAAGTAAAAACTATAAAATGTGGATATTTCTTCCTTTTTTTTTACTCCCATGTACTTGACTTCTTCCGTCTAACCTATTGATGACATATTGACATAAGGTAATGATGTATTATACTCCATAATACCTATAAATTAAATTGATGTCAACCATTGAGCTATTCATAATTTCATATGTATAAGGGGGAAAATATTTAAAATGTACTTCCAATTGTTTAGCCAATAAACACGGTAAATTGATAATCAGCTAGATATAATGTAGTAAATGGAACATGGACTGTTTCAAATTTTCAATTCACAAGTTGTATATTTTCAATTTTACCGTATAAATATTTCTTATGGAGTAATTATTATGTTTTTTTTTATAATACATACATTATAACAAATTGATATTAATAAACGATTTAAATACTCAATAGTTCAATACTAATAAGACTACTCGTTTTACTGCAAATAGGCCATTAATTTCAACCTAATAAGGATAGGATTAGTCCCCATAATCTACCATTAAACATGATACAGTCTCTAATCATTAAGCATAAATCATAAGATATGGTGTTTCATGAATTAAAAATGGACCGCACATAGTACGGTAGAATGCATACCACGTCCTAATAATTAATCACTAACGTGCTTCCATTTAATCAAACTCTGTATCATACATTATTTCACCCAATTTTACACTCCAAAATTTAACCAAAAAAAATATAACAAATAAAGCTGGTCTATTCTTGATGCACAAAATTAAACACATTGACTTTTTTTCATGGGAAGAAGAACAAGGACCATATTGCTAACATTGGCGCTATATGCAACTCTACTCTTTACCACCTCCAATGCCCAAGCCAAGACTCCCTTATTCGTGTTCGGCGATTCGCTCTACGATGGCGGTATGACCTTGTACAACGGTATCGAGGGGGCCGGTGCCGAGTTTTGGCCTTATGGTGATACTTACTTCAAGAGACCTGCTGGGAGGTATAGTGATGGTCGTGTAATCCCAGATTTCTTAGGTATGTATATATATTGCTACCTTTACAATTTGTTCACTATGTTTTGTTTTAATTAAGCAATCACCTCCCTAACATATATTGTTATCTAAAGTTAAATAAGCTCTGTGATTCGAGTGATTTTCATTGATCAATACGTGTATGTGCACATGTTATGGCAGCTCAATATGTGGGTTTGCCATTTTTGCGGCCATATTTGCAACCAGGGCTTGAGGACTTTACCCAAGGAATTAATTTTGCATCTGCAAGTGCTTGTGTGCTGGTTGAAACTCGTCCAGGAACGGTATTACTTTTTTTTAATTTTTCCTATTATTATTTGCTAAATTTACGTTTTGTGTCATTTTTAAATTTTGGGCAGTGCGCATTTAATCATTTATATAGAAAATGAAAATATATGGAGAAAGATTGGAACTGGGAGAAGCTCTTACTAATTGAGTTATCCTTCACTCTCAATTACATTTCTTCTAAAAGAATTTCTAACTTATGGCCTTAAAAAGTGCTCGTTTTCATTTTTAAGACAAGTTTTAATAAAGGCTGCTCAAATTCAATTTAGGATTAAAATACATTTAAATAGGTTTGTTTATTGAAGTTTTGGCCTAGTGATTATGATTTGGGATATCCGAAAAAATAAATTAAATTCATCTAGTACTTCTGTAGTTACTATATACTTCATAATACATTTCAATAATCTCAACATAAGGTACCATTTTACATTATTGAGTATCAAAATTTGATTTAAATCATTTTGTTCATACGTTTTTGTTCCAGATAAATTTGGCAAGGCAAATGTACTATTTCAACCAGATGTTTCATCGATTGAAACTACAAGTTGGAGAATTTGAGGCTAATAAGATAATATCCAAAGCAGTTTACTTGTTTAACATTGGAGGAAATGACTTATTTAGCCTTTTCGAGACGAATAGGGAAGGATTCCCTCTCTCCCCTTTTTTGAAGAGAGACTACGTGAACCAGATACTTGGTAACCTTACCAATCACATTTACGTAAGATTTCTTAAATCCAATTTCTACTTTTAAATGTAATTTCTACTTTAGTTTGTTGTGATTTAAAGAGTTAGCTTCATATTTAATTGATTATATGTCAAGAAATTTTAACGTACATGGTTCTGTCAAACATAACCTATACTCAAAGTCTTACAAACCTCGGATTAATCATTCAAACTATTCAACTAATGATGTTGTCTATGTATATCCTCGATTATATAGACAATCTACAGCCAAGGAGGAAGGAAGTTTGCGTTCCAAAATGTAGGACCTATTGGGTGCATGCCATCAATGAAGTCTATGCTACACTATGATGGAAGTTGTCTCGAGGAGCCATTAGAGCTAGCCAGGATGTACAACGCTGAATTCGCGACACTAGCTAATCGATTGCAATACCGTTTACCAGGGTTCAAATACACAATATATGACTTCCACACCTCCTTGCACATCCGTGTCTTAAATGGCAATAGATTTGGTACGTCTATGTTTCAATTCCCTTTTTATCACACGTCCTAAATTAAAAATAGTACTCTGTATATGTAACTATAATATATGTACGTATGTCTTAGGATCTACTTTTATAATTCATCACCTAATTTATGAATGATAGGATTCAAGGAAAGTGAAACAGCATGTTGTGGAAGTGGACCCTTCAACGGTGGCTTCACTTGCCAGAAGGAAGGGCATAGCTTCTCAATTTGTAGCAATCCAGCCGACTATTTATGGTTCGATGCAGGGCATACTACCGATAGAGCTAACGAGCAATTCGCGAGTGAATTTTGGTTGGGAGGACCCAACGTCGTTGCTCCTTATAACTTGCAGAGTTTCTTGGCCATGAGTTGATTAAACCTCTTCACATAGCTAGTTGCAACTGACCAAGCAAAGGTCCATCTGCTCAATTAGACCTCCTACTATATACTCCCTTCATTTGATAATTATAATCTATATTTTGCAAGTTTTGGCAAAAGAAATTTACATTACACAAATCACTAGTATTAGGGCTAGTAATAGAATAGTTGTCCAGGTGAACATGTACAATTGTGTCATATTCTTCTTAGTCACGAGGTTTCAACCGTGAGAAAAAATTTTCATTTTTTTTTTTTTTTTTTTTTTTGTGTGAGAGATCCACAATCCCAGAATCCACTGAAATCGGGAGGGAATGTCTAACCACTTGAGTTATCCCTAATTGTCATGAAAAAATATTCTTAGTCTACATATGTTTAGGGTAATGTAACTATTAGTTTAAGACAGAAAATTTAGAAATGTATACTATTTTTTTCAAATATTATTTTTATATGTAGTTTTGAGCTAAAAAAGGTTTAGCAACACTAAATTCTTGAATCAGTAATTGATCATGTATGATGGGCCTCGGCAGTTAACGAATGGCAAAACATATTGGGCCAGTGGATGTTGTACTTCGGCCCAATAATATAAGCGGTCTACCAAAAATATGGGCTTCTGGCCCAATAGGATCGACAACATGTGAAGTCCAGCAAAAGTTTAGCCCTTTAATACAACAACAACGCATCCCTTTACTAATATTGATTTTTTTTTTGAATTTTTAATATGAAATGTTAAGCTATATTCCACTATAAATTTTGGAATATATATATCTTCCTATTTTGTGTCAAAAAAAAAAAATATTCCACTATAAATTCAAAGCTATACACATGCAATGTGCTATGTTTGATTTATTTTTGACTTGTTTTAGACGACGACATAAGTTCATAAACTTTAATACGTGAAAGCAATTTAAATAATTCAAGTAAAAACAAATTACTAGAAAATAAAACGTTAATGTATACGTCTAGTGTGAATTTCACGTTGTATTCTTTCGTCGCCTTATGTTTAGATTTAATAGTTGCATGATGAATTATGATTACATTTCCTGACATTTCTACTCAAGGAGAATGATAGAAATAAACCTAGAGAAAGATTATTTTCTTTCTTCTATAAATTTTTTTACCATATCTTGCATTTCATTGTGTATATCGTTGCTTCACTTGTCATGAAAGAATATGGTTGTCATAATTAAAGATCTCTAGTTCTCTATTGATTGAACAAATGATTATTTACTATGTTTTCATGCTTTTCTCCCTATCTAGTTTCTTGTACGAGGTAAAAGACATAAAAGAAGAGTATATTGTAATATTTTCAAAACAGATTTTAATTTCTAAATTTAAAATAAACTTTGTACACCTCCATGTTTTTATGTTCTTTGCACTTTGGCTTTTAACATTGATCATAAACACATAAACTCCGCTTTGATCATCGTTTGTAATTTATATACTTCGTATAAGGAAAACTATATTCATGTGCAAATTAGTTGATTAAATTTATCTCAATGTATACAAGTATTTTTAGGAAATCAATTTAAAAAATTTTTTACTAGAGATTTTATCAGTCAAATTTATAGATTGACAATTACGAAAATGTTAAGTTTAAAGAACGTTTATCGATTGTATTTTACTCCCCACGTCAATCGATTGTATCTTGCTCACCACTACTAATGATTGGTCATCCAAAATACTTCATTCGTTTAGAGTTGCTCTCACTTGTGAAGTACAATTATTTGAGCCACCAAATGGCAATAATATATGAAGGAATAAAAAGTATAGTATAGCATAGCACGTTTACTATATTATTAATTAAATTTTGTAAGTATTATAATTTGGACGTAGTATTGTCATTTTCTAAACCATCACAATTCTTCCACTATGAAAAACACGAAAATGACTTATTTCCAATAGTTACAAAGGACAAAATAAAAAAAATCTTTTACAACTTTACTCTAACCTTATGTAGTAATTTATGTCTAGACCTAAGAAACTTGGCCTTATGTAACTAACACGTAGCTTTTCACCCCTATCCTTATCTTAGCTTTCACCTTCTTGAACACTCCGTATATTTGTCCTCATTTTGGCCTTCACATGCTAAGAATCATTTATAGATCAAAGTATCTTAGTGAGATTAATCAAAAGTTTAAGTTGATGGTTGAAGTCCGTTTTATATACTCTATCATACCCTCTCATATAACAGCTCATTGAGTTTGAAGTGTGGATATAACATAGACCACACCATGCCCAGCATTTAATAATCCACTTTGAAATAAGAGGGGGATGAGGTTTGACTTTTAACATGTTAAAAGACTAACTCAACTAAAAACTGGAGTTAATGGTTGAGATCCATGAATATATATATATACTCCTTTTATTATTATTTTTTTGAGGGAACCCATGAATATGTTTTTATATGCTCTATTAGAGTGAAATAATGTTAAAAATTATGCTAGTAGATGATATGATGTGTCTAAATTTTCAAACAATTTACACTTACCTTAATATATAGTGCTCACTTACCTTGTTGTGAATCTATTAATTATGTTGATCTGATGATGAAATCAATGTGAAAAATTAAGTACTATTACGCGACGTAATATATATTGTTTTATTATGCACCTTAAGTGTTGTCTAAACTAAAAATAGTCTAAACTAAATATAATAAAGATCTGATCTTGAAAAATTATATCATCAACCAATAGTACTCGTATTGATTAGGAAATGATGATTTAATTTTCAACAATCAGTATAGTATAACAATCAAGGAGACAACGAACTATTTCAAAGGGTGGAAAATAGCATCAAATATATACTATAATCTAGTTAATTTGCAATCATTAATCAAGTTTGCCTTTGCTTTCTTTTGCCATAAAAACTACTAATACAAGAATAATACAGTATATACAATAAACTTGGTATAAAGAATTTTCAAAGAAATGAAGCAACTTTTGAAAGAGAAAATTCAATAAACTTCCAAGAGGACGAATTAGGATGTCTGGCTGCTTTGCTTTTCTAGAGTACAGGTAGGCTTAGACAAAGAAGATTCTTTTCCTGAATTGATGACACACATTATTTAAAGTATGGTGGATTAGTCTTTTTCAAAACAAGACAAGGGATATATATTAAATTATAAAGAACATAACACACATAGTATATAAAATTATACTCCGTAACATATATACTAGAAAGGTATAATAAGGCAAACAAAAAGAAATACGAAGTATTAAACTTTCGTTGTAGGAAACTCCTAATGCATATTTAGTGGATAAATTAAAAATATTAAATTACAATTGATTAAGATACAACATATAATTAACATTAACAATCTAGTCAGTTGTGTAATTGATTTCTTGATAGATGTTCCATAGTCCATAGATCATGCAACGTACGTGGTATAAATTATTAAATTATAGACCTAAATACGGAGTAGTATATATTGTATTACTTAGATCAGCCAACAAAAGATTTGCTCCGTCTAAACTAAAGAAACTCTTGAGTTCGTTTTGGCTTTGAAAATGTAGAAAGCTTGGTGTGTAGTAAGGGCTTTCTAATTTCTATGGCTAAAAGCTTAGTTAGACTTGAATCCTTTATCGTCGAAGTCTAGTTACAGCTTATAATCATAATTTTTCAAATACTAAATCCCGAAAAAGCTATACAATCTACTAAACAAAAAAACATTTAATTATATCCATTCACTAGTGCTATCTCGTGCATTTTTTGTAGTAAAGTTATTCATATATCTCGTATATTAGCATATGATTTCTTATCTAAAAACTCGGTAGTTTACACATCATCACAAAAACCAAAAAATAAAATCCATGCACCAGACGGTGGTCCAAAAAAATGAATGTTTTACAAGGAAATTTTTGGGGTTACGAAGAATGCTCCACCTAAACTATATTCAAATGGGGGGGGGGGGGGGGCGATACATTTGGTTGAGTGGGCCCGTTCATGCAGCAGCCAGCGGGGTGGCTTTACGCAACTCAACTTCACCCATAAGTCCTTTCAAGCCCAACAAGCCCGGCCCGCTTCCTCTAAAATCAACTTCCTTTATTTCTTCTTGCTTCCTCCCTAGTTTATTGTCCTCTAATCTATACCCAATTCCTTTGGTACTTTTTCCTTAACACTTGTGCTTTCTTCTTTATTTCGGGACCCTTTGCTAAAAGCATTGGAATATTATTAATTGGACCACTTTTTACAATTTTTTTTTAATTGGGTGTTAGAATTTGATTTATTGGATTTTTTTTTTATTTAAAAATAAATAAATTATGATGAGTAGTTGATAAGATATTTACTATATCTTACCCAACTAGGATTAGCATATTTTCATTAAACCACTTTATGGAGACATTATTATAAACTTAATCATATGATTCATGAACTTAAACTAATTCCCTAGCTTATTCCTACCACATGTGTTTATTAGAAAAGTTGTAACTCTAGCTTCACAAGGTTGACTACTTTATCTACCATGTGAATATGTGATTTATGCATGCAAATTACATACAATTAATTAACTAGTACTACTATATAACTAATGTTGTTATTAGTCGTTGAATTGTACTCTGTATTAGTTAGTTGGTTCATGAAAGGTGCAAAGACTTAATCCTGATCGGATCGGAGTACCTTTTTCAAAATTTTAACTCTCGTTATAATTAATAATTAGTTTATAATTCGGTATGTAAGGAAATCATTAGGAAATAAAAAATCATTGAGGTAAATTAGAAATAACAGCATATCAACCCTATAATACTTTAAATATATGTATATACATTAGAGAATGAATATACAATCAATGTAATAAAAACTATAACCAAAAATAAACAAATTAAAGAGTATCCAAGTAGCACAAAACAACTTAATACATAAATAAAATGATTTATATAAAAAATAAAATCGATTTCATAATTATCGTTCATGTTATCTCATTCTAATCTTGTTGCTAATTGTTAGTTACAGTATACTCCAAAAACGAGAGTAAAGATAACATAACATTTTAAATTTTCTTAATTGATAAGATTCGTTCGTGCTATGATTAAACCAAAAAAAAAAAAAAGTCCAAGCTAAGGGTAATAATCTAATTAATTAATTAAGGATTTTCCAAAGAAAAAAAGGCTAAAAAAGAATCGAAAAGTATAAATTATTTTGGGGGTGCTTAGCCATCATATGAATTATTGACCCATAACAACCCATTCTTGTTTTGCAGAGCCAGCGGAATGTTTGATAATATGCATGCATGGATTTATTAGAGGGACAAGAATATAGCATAACCACATGCATAATTGTGTAAAGCATATACTATAATTAATAATGTTAGTTGTAATTTTGTGGTGGTTGAATTAATTAATTAATTAATTAATCAATAATCTTATCTTATACAAGTATGTGTATGTATATTACTAGTACTACTACTACATGTCTACATTACTTCTGCACTACAAGATCAATTTGCATACTTTTGTAAGAGAATAATCCGATCCTATACATGATTATTGACGTACTTTATTGAGCAAATTATAAATATAATTTCATCTATTTATTAAAGAGTTTGTTTGACTTTATGTTCATCATAAATAAAAGCCAAATTGAATTCAGATTACCATTATTAGTCGTGGTTGACAGTTACTTTATCATAATAATCTCTCAGTCCGAACTTAATATTTATGCAACCATCTACTTCTCCATTTAAGTAGGGTCGCATTAGAAATACTAGTCATAATTTTCTTTTAATTTAGAACATATGACATGCTCTAATTTGTTTAGAAATATTACATTTGTTTAATGAAATTCTTCCGATCTCATTTACTCTCTA